CATATCAAATATGTATATTACATGTGAATGTATATTACATGTGACAAGACATTTCCAAAAAAAAATTATGATTTTTGACCCTTTGACCATGACCATGAAGTTTGACCTAATTTTCAAAAAAAAAATTATCTTTTACTTATAACTTTTGATTGAGAAGAGATAGGGATTTTATATTTGACATGTGTATTACCTTTGACAAGATTTTTCGAAACATACTAAGGTTTTTGAACCCCCTTGACCCCATGACCCTGAAGTTTGACCTACTTTTCGAAGTTTATATCTTTACGCATAACTTTTGATTGAGAATAGATAGGGCTTTCACATTTTACATGTGCTATACCAGTGAGAAGGTGTTTCTGAGCATGCTATGACTTTTAACCCCTTGACCTTGACCTTCATGTTTAACTTAATTTTTTGAAAAAATTAACTTTAGTGATTTCTTTTGAATGACATATGATAGGGCTTTCATATTTGAGAAGTGCATTACCAGTGTCAGAATATTTCCAATTGTGCTATGATATTTGACACCGTGACCTTGACCTTCAAGTTTAACCCATTTTTCAGACTTTTCTTCAGTGTTGCTAACTTTTGAAGGAGCGAAGATAGGGCTTCATATTTGACACGTGTATTACCTGTGTCAAGCATTTCCAAGTGTACTATGATTTTTAATCCCATGACCTTGACCTTGAAGCTTGACCTACTTTTCATAAATTTTAACACTGTTAATAACTTTTGATTGAGAGAAGACATGGCATTTACACTTGACATGTGCATTACCTGTTTCCAGGCTTTTGCTGCTGTATACTCTGTTTTTTGATATTTTTTCACATGTGCATTACTTGTGAAAGACCTTTCGGATTTTATTATGATATTTGACTTCATGACCCTGATCATGACGTTTGATCTAGTTTTGAGAAGCTATAATCTTTACCATAACTGTTATTAATTCAATAATTCATGTTTTTTGTATAATGCACAGACATGACAGGACACACAAAAAAGACAGTTACAATATGCCATAAATAATGGCATTCCATCCACTAAGACACCGAAAGCGGGGGACCACAATTCTTTGAATTTGCTTGTTTTGTATTATTTTCCATTTGTATTGTATGTTTATTTGTATTGTATAACTTTCCATTTGTATTCTATAATTTTCCATTTGTATTTTATAATTTTTATTTGTATTGTATAATTTTCCATTTGTATTGTAAAAATTTTCATTTATATTGTATAATTTTCCATTTGTAGTGTATAAATTTCCATTTGTATTGTATAATTTTACAATACAAATGGAAAAGTATACAAAAGGAAAATTATACAATACAATTTGAAAATAATACAATACAAATAAAAATTATACAATACAAATAAAAAATATACAATACAAATGGAAAATAATACAATACAAATGGAAAATTATAGAATATAAATAAAAAAATATACAATACATATAAAAAATAATATCAATACAAATTAAAAAAAATATACAATACAAATATAAAATTATACAATATAAATGGAGAATTATAGAATACAAATAGAAAATTTACAATACAAATGAAAAATTATAGAATACAAATGGAAAATTATACAATGCAAATGGAAAAGATCGAATATTGCAACGTTTGACATGGCATAATTTTTGTACGGGATATATCGGTTGCAATATTGCGGCGAATTTAACGTAACTGATGTGAACGGTTATGTTACTTTTTCTGCATTGGTTGCAACGTATAACACAACAAATAAAAAACAATTGTTGCTCATTCTTTCCTTAGTTATTCACATAAAGTGGCTGAAAGTGCGTAAAATATCGTATTATCGATCCTTACGTTACATTGGTGGAAGAACCGCAAAACAATTGACCTTGAACACTTCCTCTGGATATAAGTATTTTAAAATATGAATTTATTATTTTTGCCTTACATATATAACAGCAATATGGTTTTTAAAAGAAGTAAAGGAGAAAATATTTTGTGAATGTAATTATTATGATATCAAACATGTAATACTTCTTTGACTTCCACCCCATCCCTGAAAATGACTGGATCCTCCTAAAATAAATTTGGATTTCACTATAACCCCGTCCCTCTCCTTGAAACAGAGACATCTTCAACAACTCGTTTTGGGAGAAATCGGATTTTTTATGTTCTTTTCCCTGGATACTAACCACCCCCGTTTTGACCACTCATAAGTAATAACCAATCTCAACTACTGGTGGATGATTGTTTTGCTATCAATATACATGACTGAATTTCTTCACAACAAAGAAATCGTTTCAGTCAACATTTTTCAGAATAATTAAAAGACGATATTTGGAAATACCAACTTAGGTCAGGATACGTTTACTCTCTTGGTTAAAAAAAAAAATCTCAGAGAATCTGATTAAAAAATCGATATTTGATGTCGTTGCCATCGCGACAATATCGGATCATTAGTTTTTACTTCTGACAATATGTTACCTGAATTATTCAAAATGTTCAATTTGGTACTCTTACATGTCTTAGCTGACGGATGACATGATCGTAGGAAGTCTGAGTGTAATCTTTGAGCAACAGCTTTGAAATGGAAATATTTTAAAATTTTGCACTATTTTTTTTTTTCAAAAAATCAAATATATATGATTATTTAGATTATTCAGATACGTATACAGTTCCAAAGTTAAAACATTTAATTTACATGTATCTAGGATAAAAAATAATTATCCAATCAGTTCCAATTCGTTTGTTCTCTTTAATACAAGAGATACATAAAATTTTGTACCTATTATGGAAATTTAAAAATAAACAATGTATTATTGACTTTAATTTGTTTTTTTAAAGAAACTTTTATTGTTTTGAACATATACTTTTGTATAATATAAACAGAGGGATTGGATACAGGTTCTTGCAACTTAAAGCATGCAGGAACCGAGGGGGTGGGGGATTGCCGATACAGTTGTATATAGAATACTACAGAAAACACAGCAAGCTATATGCTTGTGCCCACTCATTAATAACGTCTGACGATATTTTATTTTTGTCAAGGAATTTTTGGTAGTGATAGTGACCCCTTACTGAAAATGTATGGTTGTGCCCCCCCCCCCCCCTTCAACTGAAATTGCTTCCTACAGACCTGTAGAGAATCCTTTCCCTAAACTTTTATTGAAAAACACAGGAAATTATAATGAAATATGTGAACAAACAGCCCATCCCAGATGATAATGATGAAAGTAATAATAAATTGAGGGGTATTAAAAGTATGTCTGTTTAGCTTACCAGAGCAATAGGATAACGCTTAAAGCATGTCTGATGCATAATTTTATGCGTAAGCTTTATTTGACAGGGAGAGAAAATTCACTCAGATGAGGGTTGTGGTCAATTATTTTATATAATTTGGCATTTATTTCGTAAATAGGAAGATGTTATTTTAGAATATAAATAGATTTGCTATACCTTTAAAAATCGGTCCCTATACAAGGGCGGATCCAGGGCCGGCGCGCCGGGCGTGCGCCCCCCCCCCCCCCCGTTTGAATTTTTTTATATGTAGAACTTATATGTCCATTATCCTAAAATCAAGGGAAAAAAATCTCTCATTTGTGAGAATTTGTCAGCTTCCGGGGGCTTCGCCCCCTGACCCCCACCAGGGCCTTGCACTAGACCCACTGGGGGCTTCAATGCAGCCCACAGACCCCCCCCCTTCTACTGCACCCCCCCCGTTACGAAATTCCTGGATCCGCCACTGGTATATAATCTGTACTAAAAAGTCTTTTACTGAGCGGTCATAAAAAATTCGATATTTGACCGCAGAATGTGATATTGGACCGCTTATGTCACACTATGGACGTGATCTAATTCTTATTTTCATTCGTTGGTGTTAGACGGTGACAGAATTGACAGTTTAATCACAGTGATGGTAAAGGAAATTTACATCATGGAAGCCCTCACAATGTTCATTTATGTCCCCAAAAAATAATAAAGAAAAGGTATTACAAAACATTTATTAACTGAGTTCTCGGGCAAAATAATAATGTGTTTTGTCGACCCCTTGAACCAAACTGTTTGCCTTCAGCCTAACGGCCTCAGACAAACACTTTAGTTCTTGGATCTGACAAAACGCATGTTGCCTTCGAACCCAGTCAATAAATATATAATATTCTTTTTATGTTGTCTCTCATATTTAATAGTAGATCTTGTGTGCGTTTGCCCTTCCTCTTCAGTGCACATAAGCCAGAAGATTCAAGTTAGTTGGTGTTTGTTTTTTTTTTATTTATTTGACTGATGATTGCTATGTTTTGATTTTTGCTGATGCTAGTCAGCACACAGCAGCATCCACTGTGCTTTTAATGACTATCGTAATCAAAGAAGGCAGGAATGTTTTCGATCACTAAAATCGTTTGTCTCTCTTTAAATTTCCTGAAGTGCGTAAACTCACAGTTTGAAGTAATACATTAGTCGTTGTGGCAGATATTTTTTCAGTCTAGCGGGAAGGCTTAAATCTATCAATCAAAATAGAAACACCTTGCCAATTTTAGGTCTTTAAAAGTCTTAATTTTTGGCCCTGTGGATCTGGATGATCGGTGAGACGTCGTCCTTTGGTGATATAAATGTTTATTAATTTTCAAACTGAAGTTGAAAATGAGTACATGACAAATTATAAGTTGTTACGTACATGTAATTATTATCAACTACAGATTGAAAATTAAAAAACGACATAAATTAGGTGAGCGATGTGGCCTTTGGATCCTTTCTTAATAGATTTATGTTGTTTATGATTTGACTTGAAGTGATAATTTCACGAATAATACAGTCCAATGTCCTTCCTTTTTCTCCCACGTTTATACAGATTTGACATAAAGTTTATATTATAAACGTTTAATCATAATATAAAATACGCTTCTTGCAACCAAAGCTGGGTGAAGATGATGAATAAGAAAACAAACAGTAAGCATTGACAAAACATGTTTAATATTTTTCTTAAAATCATAAGCAATTATTCACATATGAAATCTGTTTCAGGTAACTTCAGAAAATGTGTTACGAAAGAAGACTGTTTTAACAGCACCCAGAGTGAAATAGAATGCGCGGACTATGCGAACAGGGGCTTTACGACCTGTTTCTGCGTACATAACTTGGTGGAAACCGATAGAGAAGGAAGATGTAAAAGCAGTTGTACGTATGCTTTTTTACATTTTTAGGTACCACATAATTATACGTATGCTTTTTAACCTCAGTTTAAATATTAGATAATACTAAGATGTGGCCCTATATGCTTCCCATGGAGTCGACAGGAGTAGGTCAAGTAAATATTTAGATACAACATATAATTGTAGCTGGAATCTATATTCGGTATATGGAGGGAAAAAAATAGGGTTGATTAGGACATCTTTCCTTCATAAGCTGTGAATCCTTTCAAAGTCTACATGAATTCGTTCTCGTGTAATATTGGCGATTCAGACCAATCACGGTCTCTTTCAGAGCACTTGATTTATGGAGATAGCCGAATGTGTGCACAATAAAACTTATAGAACATGAACGGTTTAATGTCAACCAATTTAAAGGGTTTTGCAAGAAAACATATCATAGAAAAGTATCCATAAAATGATCTTTATGATCAGTCAATACATGAACAACCGACAATCACAGTGAAGACGGGCATATAATTAATTGTTCTACATAATTTATTAAATATGACCTAAAAAATGGAAGAGTTTTAATTCTATGTGAGTTACTTTAACTGATCGGTAGAAAATGATATTAATTCTGTTAAGGGACATACATGCAAGAAAGAAACAATATGTCAATGAAACACATATATCAGCATCATAACTAGAGAATCTACTGCTTAACACAGCTGGTAATACGCCTTCTAACAGTTACTGGTACCGTTACTGAAACCGGGATATTCTTATTATATAAGAGTCTCTCTGGGTTTACGAAAGTTTGCTTGACAGGCCCGTAGTAACGGTTTCAAAAGGGGGAAACCTCCCAAAAAAATCTGACAAGCCAAAAAATACCTTAAGCTGTCCAAAAAGTGTGCCGGGGGGGGGGGGGGCTAAACTTCCCAAAATGATCTGACAAGCAAAAAAAAAAATCGAATTCATCAGTGCTCAACCTTACAGTAACTAAAAAAGGGGGAGGGTTAACCGGCATCTAGATGAAAAATAAACTCCAAGGTTAAGCTCATAAGTTGTCAAAAATGTTGGTTTTCAACGAAAGGTCTTGTCATAAGGAATACTTATTTGAAATATAAAATTCCTAGCACTAACTGTTTTGGAGTTATCGCCAAGGTTAAAGTTTCACTAATTATAAAAACTTAGCACCAACCGTTCAAAGGTTATGGCCAATGTTAAACAGACAAACGGAAAGACTTCCGAATCCTCAATTACGCCGCTTTTTAAAAATTAATGACAATTTCCCAACAAAAAAATAATTACAATTTCTCAGCAAAACATTTCTACATGATATTGAAGCTCCATTTGTTTTACTTTGTACATTAATCTCTGTAAAGCTGCTTAATTGTCTAAGTCACGTTGTATAAAGTTCATAAATGTTTCATCCTTGGCAAGCAAGTATGCGCACATCTTATCTTCCTGAACTGTAACGAAAACTGGGCAAAAATGTTGCGTTTTAAGAAAGCGATAATAGCAATTAAACTTCCATAACTAAGGTATTCTATCTTGTACTAAATATTCTTTTACGTGGTTGGTTCAAATTCTAAGCTGAATAAAAATTTTACAACAGGGAAATAATGTTTGTTTGCTCTCTCCCGACTTGGGGGAAAAATGGGTCGGTAGGAAGGTGGGGGAAAAAATTCAGAAATTTTCATATCATTGCTGAATTTTCAAAATCAATGGAATGAGAAAACTCAGGAATGAATAAAAAAAATCATTTCCTGGGGGTTTAAAAGTTTTGAGTCGCGCTATTTTTAGCAGTCGGTCGGGAGAGGGTATGACGCAAGGACAGACCTTTGGATACATATAAGAGTGTTTCATATCATCATGAAAAACATGAAAATTAGACAACCGACTTTTTTATTTTTGCAATTGGAGAACATCTGTTAACTTTCCTTCCTTAGTCCACTCTTTTCTTTGCAGCACATAGTTCTCATGAAGATGCCAAGGAGACATTTCTGATATCCATTGACAACAATGCCACCAGCAATTATAACAAAGTTTGTATCTATCTAATTCAATTCAAATTGGCGAAACACGACAGCATTTAAGCACTCTCCCCGTTCGGGACCCCCTCCACTTCAAATGTTTATAGGGGAAATTTATATAATATATAGAGAGTGTTTCATCATGATTTAATCATGATTTCCAAAGGAAGGTTCAGTCTTGTTTGGTAATAGTTATTTTATTGAGTCAGCAGGAGAGATAAGTTAAAGTTATCAAAAAGAAAAAAAAAACCCACCAAAGATCTCCTTTTTTACATTCTTAGGTATATTTTGCCTCTTTTCATTCTCAGTTACATGTAGAAGTTCTTGAAAACATGAAAATGTTTTAATACATTTTTCTCATGTAAATTCCTTTTTATAGTTAAATAATATCTATTTTCATGTTTTCTTATGAATGCTCAAACCTTTCGTTTTTGGTTTTTTTTTTCAGACTCAGAATCCCGTTTTATCAGCAAAACCGGAAGTTCCGGAAACAGAAACTCTTCTTCAAATTTTCATTCCCGTATCATTCATAATCACTCTGCTAATGGTCCTTGCTTTCATTTTTGCGAGGAAGAGACAGTTATGTCAAAAGAGGAAAAAGAGAAAAGATGTCATTATCCGCAATAACGAGGACATTCAGTTGTTAGATAGAATGAACTTTGTAAACAAAAATCCTACATATTTCATGACGTCACAAGAGAAGACAGAGGAAAAGAAGATTTCAATAAAAGAGATTCCATTTGAAAGGGTGAAGATAATAGAAACTGTGGGAGAAGGAGCTTTTGGACATGTGTATAAGGGTATTTTTTCTTTTTTGGCGGGGGGGGGGGGTATAAAATACTTATCAAATATGAAAAAATAAAAAATACTATTGCTTGCACATATCAATGAACTAATAATGAAAATTCTACAAGGTACATGAAAAAAATTACTGTACATAGTATAAAAAGATAGAAATGTCCCGGTATGTAACGGTTAAAAAAAAAAGCTGGGTGTAAATATTTTAGATCAAATGATATCAATTACTATTACAAAAATAACTATTACAAAATATTAGATAATACATGTAGATGTAAATGTTGGCAACTTATAAACTATAAAGGATAAAGATAAGCAATGTCAGACTAATATGTATATGTGATTCTTCCTTTCCAGGTCTGTATTACACACCAGACTGCCCAAGCGCAAAGGATGTTGCAGTAAAAATTTTAAAGGAAGGCGTGTCAAACGAGGTCAAGGAAGATTTTGAAAGAGAAGTTGAAATTATGAGCAACTTTAACCATGACAATATTTTGAGTCTTCTAGGTGTTATTACCAAAGGTAATACAGAAACTTAATCTGTACTTTAAAGGATATAAATACGATAAATTTGACTGTTCTCCCATCTACGTTCCTAAAAAATCGACATTGACGCGAGCAACTGCATGTCGTCCGCTTTCAGACATATATGTAATCTGTAAGACTGACTTGTGAGGAAAAGAATATACTTTTTATACCTGATCACAATTCTGGCAACAAATACTTATTAGAACCGTTTCACTATCTGACCTTTATACTTTAAAAGATTACGTGGACTTTAGTAGCTGATGCATTGTTCATAGAAATGTAACTTTGTTAACTACGTGTATTTCAAACGCTAACTACATGTATTTCAAACGCTAACTACATGTATTTCAAACATGTCTACGTGGTAATGTGTACATATTTAAAAAGTTATTGAAATATTCTAAGTGTAAAATCGGCTTATTTTCTATTAAGTATGAATGTTCTCCTTCTAGAAAGAATTTTATTGACGCTACTTGGAACTATATTTTTTCACGTTGCAGATATTGGTGATACACCATATATGATATTTGAGTACATGGTCCACGGGGACTTGGCTGAACTTCTCCGTAGGAATGATCCAGTGATGAGAAAGAGTGAGAATGATTTCAAACTTCAGAAAGTATGTTACAAATCTAACAGTGGGTAGACTGAGATAGGGCTTACAAAATCGCTTTAAAAAGTTTAATAGTTAATGTCAGATCTCACAAGTACAGTCGTAAAAATCTCTGTATTACGTATTGCACATAGTCCGACAGTCGGTCATTGTGTTCATTCGTTCTTTCGAAGAATGTTCACTGTTGTATGTTGTTTTTTAGACAGTGTGTGGATAGAACATCCATACTGTATTGTGTGAATTATGATTTTATGTTTGATTGACATGATGTATGATATATATTCGCTTGGCAAGCCGAATATATACATCATTTCAACTCGCTGAGTATAGCATATATTAAATGATTATCATACAATACTGATATATCCTTATATATTACATTTTCAGCTTTTCCAGAATAACTTGCTTAACAGCTAAGAATTTACCACAAACCTGTCAGGGATGAGGAATTCGATATCCTCTCACATGAATACCTGTTTGCAGGGTATTCTTACCCCTATCAAACTTGAAAACGATTTTACCCTGTTTTAAATTCGCCTGGGCACACATGTATTGATTTTGGTAGATTGCTTTTGTTTAGAAAATTTTGTAAGAAGATGGGGTTAAAGGAGGAGGATAAGTACAAGAAATATTATGATCAACAAATTAAGCTACCATTAATCTCATACATCCTCATGTGTTTTACCTTCAATTTGTTGAAGATGTGGGCCGGGTGAGCCATGGGTTTCAAAATTTTGCGATATAGAACATTAATAAATCTCTCTCTCTCTCTCTCGTTTTCGGGGTTTTAGGGGGGATGGGGGCAACACTGGATTTACTATTGTCAAAATACTTATGTCTTACGTAAGCGTTGGACAAGAGCTTCGTTATAACTTCTTCGTAGGCGTTGATGCCCCTATTCTTCAATTAAAAGCCTTTCTGAATGTACGTGACAATCCCTTCAGAATGATGGAACTATTTGCTTTTCAATTAACACTTAAGTTAATACTCTAAAAGTTTATTATCACATCTTCTTCATGTTATGCCCATAAAAGGAATTTACCTACTTGTCTATTTTTGTAGAACTGGCTGTTTTACTTGTAAACAGGATGCTTGTTAACTAGTAGATGTTATTGCCTTAAGGTTTGGTATTTAAATACAGATGCCATTACACGCAGGTTGTCTGATCTCCGTCATAAATTCTGGTCTTGTCGCCTTTTTTCAGATACCCATTCAATGCCCATCCTTTACGCGATCTGTAATGTTCTAAAGCATTAATTAAAATATCACTTCTAACAGACATAGATCTGGCACACAATTCATTACGCTCGGCATTAGCCTTAGCCAGCGACAGACCAGCATTTCAAAACAACGTTTATTTTTTTCTCCCAAATTTGGATAAGATATTCTATTAAAAGACAGAGAAATTGTAAAAAGAACGTTGTTTTTAGCTCTACTGGTCAGAGACCAGAAGAGCTTATTTGATAACAAGGTGTCCGTCCATCTACCTGTCCGTCTGTAAACAATTTTACAAAATGCTACTCCTCCTACATTTTTGTCTGATTTCAATATAACTTAGCACATGAGTAGACTACACTCAGATACATAATTCTCTTTATCGGTTTTTGATTTCCATTAACAATGTCTCCATGGTAACTAAAAATAGAAATTTATGTGAAACACTTTCCAAATCCTACTCTTCGTACAGTTTTGGATTGATTTCAATATAACTTGGCACACAAATAGAACTACACTAAGATTCATAATTCTGTTTATCGGTTTTTGATTTCGATTAACGGTGTTGTCATATGGTTCCTAAAAACAGAAATTTATGTGAAATTATTAACAAAACGCTACTTCTCCTACAGTTTTGTTCTGGTTTCAGTATAACTTGGCACACAAGTAGACTACACTAAGATACATAATTCTGTGTATCGCTTTTGATTTCGATGAATGGTGTTGCCATGGTTCCTAAAAATAGAAATTTCTGTGAAATACATTCAAAACACTACTCCTACAGATTTGATCTAATTTCATTATAATTTTGCACACAAGTAAACTATACTAAGACACATAATTCTGTATATCGCTCTTTGATGCGATGAACGGTGTTGCCGCGGCTACTAAAATAGAAGTTTCTGTGAAAATCATTCAAAACGCGTACTCCTCGTACAGTTTTGGTCTATTTCAGTATAATTTTGCACACAAGTAGACTACACTAAGATACATAATACTGTTTATCGTTTTGTACTCCAATAAACGGTGTTGCGATGGTTATTAGAAATAGAAATTCCTGTAAAATACATTCAAAATGCTACTCCTGCTATAGTTTTGGTCTGATTTCAGTATAACTTGGCACACAAGCAGAATACATTTAGATTATGTATCTAAATGTTCTCTCTATCGGTTTTTGATTTTGAGACTAAACCAAGGATCATTATTTCAAGTGCTACTTTTCTCTTCCTTTGTTGTACGTGTAAACCATTTTTAAAAGATGCCGCCAAATTTATACGAATTCTTAATTATCCCCTTGAAAGAGGGCGTGGTACTTCCTGTGAACAAACTTAATTCCCTTCACCCAAGGATGCTTTCAGTTTGTGGCAAGCTTTGTTGAAATTGGCCAAGTGGTTCTTGAGAAGTCGAAATGAGGAAAGTTTACAGATAACAAACGACAGACGGACGCCGGACACTCTTTGATCAGAAAAGCTTACTTGGACCTTCGGCTCAGGTGAGCTAAAAAGGGGAGAGTAAAATAAAGTGCACAGATCCTAAGCTCATATTTAAAAAATTATCATTGATAGTTAGGGATTTCTCTTCGAAAAGTGTCCCCACCAATGTTCTTTGGTTTGTTGTGATATCGAAATAAAAAGAAAGGAAACAGTTTTGAAGAATTGTTCAGTTCAAGATATTGTATTAATCTTAAAAATTTCTTCAGTTTTTAACACTTGATATACAAGTATCATTTTGTTCCCCAAACGAAGTTTGGGAACGTACTGCTTTTACTCCGTTTCTTATTATTATTATTCCGAGCCGTCACGTTAGCTCAGTCGGTAGAGCGCTAGCTCCGTAATCGAAAGGTCGCGTTTTCGAATCAACTGACCTAAGTCGATAAAAATAGGTAGCAACTGTTCCTTCGCTAAGCATTCGGCACTTTAAAGTGAAAGTTGCGGGTCCTTCGCATGAGACCTTAAAACCGAAGAGTCGCAGAGTAAGGAGTTGATCCTTACGTCTCGGGTTCAAATCCCACTGTGGGACGTGGAGACCGGTTCTTTGGATGAGACAGTGTAAACCGAGACCCCGTGTCGCAGTATGTGTTGGCACGAAAAAGATCCCTCACTGCTCAATGGGTATTGGTCAAAATTTGGAGCTATCCACCGGCAAGTAGCGATGTCTCCATATGAATGAAAAATTCTCGAGAGGGACGTTAAACAATAAACAAACAAACAATAAAAACCGAGGCCCCGTGTCACGGCAGGCGTTTGCACGATGAAGAACCCTCACTGCTCAATGGCCCTGAGTGTCGAGTAAAGGTCTACATTTGAAACCCTTCACTGGTATATGGTGACGTCTCTATATGAGTGAAAAATTCTCGAACGGGACGTAAAACAACATACAATCAATCAATCATTATTCCGTATTCGTCTTCCTGGGTATTTTTTTTTGTAGTATCCGAGTGATCTCGTGATCTCATCCGATTAAGGTGAAACCTTTTTAGGGAAGGCCCGTAGCAACGGTTTCAAAAGTGGGACGGGGGGGGTCCAAAAAAAAATCTGACAAGCCAAAAGAGAAGGAAAATAAAAAAAAAACCGCCGGAACTGCCTGTATCCTGTAATTTGCCAGTGCTCGACCTTACAGAAACAAAGGGGGGGGGGGGCATCATCTAAAGGTACATTTACTATAGCAAAATACTATGCAGCCCCCCCCCCCCCCCGCGTTCTGCGGGTCAGTAGGGTTAATAGTAAGTAGATTATAGATAAATAGGTAAGAACGAAGGTCATTTTGTGGGCACATGCATGTTGTAACTATTATATTTTTTTAATGAAATGCTTTGAAACTCAATATAAAGATACATTAGAAGTCTAGACAAGATGACATAGTCAAATTAGCATGAACTCACGCGTATGCACGTGCACTTCATTCTAATTGGCTTAACCTTTATCAGAACTTTTTGAACGGTTGGTGCTAGTGCTTTCATATATCACGTTTATTTCTTGTGACAACTTTGGGTATCAATGTTTTTGATCTCGTGAGAATATCATTAAATTCTTCATTCCAAACAAAGCACTTCGAAATTTAATAAATTTCATGAAGCTTATACATGTAGGGAATTAAGCACTAAAAGTGACTAGGAGAGCGTTTGGGGAATATCTGTAACGGTCTCCGTTACAATTTTAACTATTTTTTTTTATGGAAGGTCCACTTTCAAATGTACCCATGTAAAAATGATATTTTACGATCAAATTAAGAAAAAATAAAGCACTGGAGATATTTCTACAACAAAATATTTAATATACATTAAGACAGCAAGTTCGCATGAAAGTAGGATAGCACATAAGCCATTTTTCATAATGGTGTTGATCTATCACTGTAGCTTTTTAAGGACGGTACAAGTACATAAGAATGATATCTTGCCAAACACTCGATGAACCACGCTAACAAAACTTGGGAGTCAGTCCTCTTGTGTTTTAATTTAACAATTTCTTTCTGATAATCATTAACTTCTGAAAACAATAAAATATTCTAAATATTCCAAATTAGACAACTTATAATGTGGAGTGCAACCGTCGGCAATACATAGCACTTTAGGCATAGATTCGATTGTCACTAATGTTAACAATGTTACATGTAGGTCCCAGAAATTTCGCAAGATTAAGAGCTTCCACGCAAAGAGCAGAAGTAAGATCATAGATAATCGCGATAGAAAGTATTGTATGGTTCCAGTTGAAACTACATGTACTGAGTATATATCGGCGGAGGGGAATAAGGAATGCGGCCAAGGCCGTATCTAGGCTCAAATGTTTAGTGAGGAAAGGGAACTTGGGGTCACCCGAGCCCCAAGTAGTGTCCTAATGGGGATTCTCGGGGGAAGGGGGGCTCCCGAATTCTGAGCCCCGTTTTACGAAAGAACTTTCGACTAAGACCGAAATGAAATTTTGCAAATAACTTCCTAGCATACATTAATTTTAAAATGGTTTAATATTTTACACAAGAATTTAGAAAGATATTTTTATGCTATTGATTTTTACCACTAAAGTTTTTGGTCATTGTCGTAAGTTCTTGGGTTCTATTAAATTAAAGACAACCTTTGAAAGTTTTCACATTTTGAATTATTTGTGCATACCTTCTAAACTGTAATGAAACACCGGTGAGATGATCGATTTACAGAAATTGAAACAAAAGTTGAAAGTATCAATTCTGTACAAAGAAACACATAATTCAAGTTCAAATGTAAAACTTTGTCACTTTTAAGAAAAACCTAAAATTTTAGTGAGGCATTTGCCTCACTTGCCTCCATATATATGGTAGTTACGGCCTTGACGGTTAATAAATTTACAACTATAATATATTTAACGGTACGATCGTTAGGGCAAGCGCAGTTGCATTCCATAAAAAAACCTATACATAACCTACACTTTTAACTTTGATCCGCCTCTCCAAACTTCGAACTGCACGAGAGGATTAAACTTTGACGTCACAGGATGTCACTTATTAGTTGCCCTTCCATAACCAAACTCGTAGGAAGCTATTTTACTTTGAGGGGGCACAACCATACATTTTCAGTTGGAGGGGCACTGTCATGTACCAAAATTTCTTGACAAGCCAAAAAAAAAAAAAAAAAAGACGGTCAGGCCAAAATAAAAAAAAACCTTTGTTTCCCCTAACGCGACCAACCCAACTAACTCCCGCCGACTGAAAAGTTTTTTTTAAGAAGATTATTCAAATATTTTTTTTTAATGTTTATCAACGTACAATTTCATCAAAACCCGTTCTTATCAGAAATTCAGAATGTATTTTCAAGGCTGCTGTCAGAAAAAAAAAATATTTACCTACCTACCTACCCAACTTCAGATTCTAGGGTCGGGTTAGGGGAAACAAAGATATTTTTAATGATGGCCTCACCAGACGTTATGATTGAGGGGGCACAAGCATATCATAGCTATGTTTTTTATAGTATTCAATATATCGGCAAAATTATTGGGGGCACCCCCCCGTGCCCTCCCGGTTCCTATGGCCATGATAACAGCGTCTAAATAGTGCAATTTTTTAACGAAAGGCATTTTACAGTAATGCAATAAATTTTTGTTTCTTTCATTTCAATCCTCACACTCGGAGTTACTTGCGTGGTTCGTGCCTCGCGGAGTCAGCCGAGGATTGCCGTTTGCTATCTTCACGATAACTGCGGGCCTGCTATATACGCCATTACTGCATGGAATTGTGGTTGCGAAAGAATTCAGGGAGGGTTTCACACAAAAATTTCCTTGACGAATATACAGATTTCATTTCGATTTTCCGTTCTTACATTGTCAGTCTTTTGAACTCCCTATTAAAACATCAGACGCAATAGTTTAACGTGTAAGAATAGAGAAAATTTTAACTGAAGTCTATATATTGTTCGAGCAAATTTTTGTGTAGAAACCTTCCAAGAATTCCTTTGCTATCAGGCTTTCCACAATTCCTTTAGTTAAAAAAAATTGCAATAGGCTTATTTAGACTCAGTTACGGAAATGCATCTTGCATACGACGTCTTGTGACGTCACACTCTAGGCTGCATGTGTATCGTGTGGTTTGAAGAGGCGGTTCAAAGTTCCAAGTGTAAGCTGTGTAAAGAGTTTGGATACAACTGCGATCGCCTAAATTGAAAAGGTCATAATAACGAGTGTGTGTCTTTTGTAAGTTTTGTCCAGGTTTTAACTGTTGTTTGTGTATGTGAAACGTTAACGGACTTAAGTCAGAATGTCTTTAAATACCTGCATTAGATTTTCCATTCGTTCGAATATAAAAAAAATGATTACAGATGTGTGCTCCTCTTTTAAAAATAAGAAGTATTGAAATTATTGAAATCTTAATCTATGTTATATTAAAAAAATTGCAAATTAAAATTGTATTCTTGACCCACAGGTACTTGTGGACAGGAACCCCCCCCCCCCCCCCGATATTCAACCCCAGGGCTTGTTGGAAATTTTTTTCACAAATTATATTTATTACACTTATTCATCATGTGTACCATAGGAAAAAATCGTGAAAACCCCAAAATAACCGTTCCACATAAAAAATATCCCACTATACATTATAAGAGAGAAAGGTATGCCACTCCGGTTTGTTTACGTTGCACCCCCACTGGTCTTTCTGGATTTAAAAACATGTATTTATTTTATTTTAACCTGAAATGTCGGTTCACGCTGTCTCTACATATATTTCTGTCTTAGTTCATGCTATTGGATTGACTCTGCATCTCGTAAGAATCCCACAATTAATCCTTAAACAGCATTGTAGTCGGTGCGTTGAAAATTCCTTAGGTAAACGCAACGGAAGTACACCAAGAATGTATCACTTATTACGGTAACGTCCGAGAGAGTTTTGGCCTGACGTAATAATCTCTCTCGGGTGTTATCATAATACGTTATATATTCTCTATGCACTTCCGTTGCGTTTACCTAAGGAATTTTCAACGCACCGACTACAATGCTGTTTAAGGATTAATTGTGGGATTCTTACGAGATGCAGAGTCAATCCGATAGCATGAACTATGACAGAAATATATGTAGAGACAGCGTGAACCGACATTTCAGGTTAAAATAAAATAAATATATGTTTTTAAACCCAGAAAGACCAGTGGGGGTGCAACGTAAACAAACCGAGTGGCATACCTTTCTCTCTTATAATGTATAGTGGGGTATTTTTTATGTGGAACGATTATTTTGGGGTTTTCACGATTTTTTCCTATGGTACACATGATGAATAAGTGTAATAAATATAATTTGTGAAAAAAATTTCCAACAAGCCCTGGGGTTGAATATCGGGGGGGGGGGGGGGTTCCTGTCCACAAGTACCTGTGTCTTGACCGTGAGTGAGGTTTCTGTAAAACTATGATTTTACAAGGGGGGATTCAGGGCGGAACTTAATTATATGTCCATTATCCTAAAATCAAGAAAAAACATCTCTTATTTGTAAGAATTCGTCAGGACCCCCACCAGGGCTTTGCCCTAGACCCACTGGGGGCTTCAATGCAGCCGCCAGACCCCCTGCCTTCTACTGCGCCCCCTTCCGTTATGAAATTCCTGGATCCGCCACTGTTTTATATGTATATGTGTCTGTGTCCTAGATGAAGCCATTCGAATTTTTTTTCTTTTAGACTGACCTCATTGACGTAGCGTTGCAAATAGCCAATGGGATGAAGTATCTGACGTCACAGCATTTTGTGCACAGAGATTTGGCAACAAGGAATTGTCTAGTAGGAGACGATCTTAGAGTCAAAATATCTGATTTTGGAATGGCAAGAGATGTGTACACTCACGACTACTACAAGGTGCTTATAACTGTTTATTTAGGTCATGAATCTAATTTTAAGTGAAATAACTTTTTGTTTTTACAAATTTCCATATGATACTACATGTATTTGGATGTCATATTTCCTGGTTCTTTTGATATTTTTTCTAGTGTTTGAAACTTAAAAAGCTAGACTTAGTATAATAAACCTGCAAATATAACAAACGGTGAAGGCCCGTAGGCAGCAATTTCAGTTTTTTTTTGAGGGGGGAGGGGGGCACAACCATACATTTTTCAGGGGGGGAGGAGGGGCACTTTCAACTACCAAAAATTCCCTGACTAGCAAAAAGAAATTAAAAAGGTCATCTAACGTTATTATTGAGGGGGCGCAAGCATATATTAGCTATACTTTCCATACTATTCTATATATCGGCAAAATTATTAATTGGGGGCGGCACGCCCCCTCCAGTGCCCCCCCCCCCGGTTCCCACGGCCATGCGGTTTTGTAACCCTTTACTTGTTGCACGTTTATTCAATATCAAGGGGAAAACTGGATTAAACTTTCATTTGCTTTTATGTAAGATTGGGGGTTCGAGAATGCTTCCAGTGCGTTGGATGTCGCCGGAGAGTGTCAAATATGGCTGCTTCACCAACGAGTCTGATATCTGGGCTTATGGCGTTGTTCTCTGGGAGATTTACAGCTATGGTCGACAGCCTTACTATGGGCACTCAAATGAAGAGGTAGGTACATGTTTATAGAGGAGAATATTTTCAACAGCATTATTATCGCTCAAAATTCAGCTTAAGTCTACACACGAATCATCTCTCTTTGTTCATTTTTGTGCCCTGACGATCTAATTAAAAAAATCTTTTTTTATTGCATTTGAAATGTTATTCCATTTTTTCTATCCTAAACTAAAAGCACATCTTTTAAAGAATTTGATTGAAATCTCCTCAAAAGTCTTAAAGACATCTTTAGTTTCGTACTGACAATCAATGAACGAGACGTTGGCAGGGAGTGAAACGAACCATTGCAATGTACTTTGCTCCTCTTGTATCGTAAGGACAAAAAGAAAAAAGACGCCATTGGTGCCCATAGACAAATTGAAATAGTTATTTATTTAAAAAATCACCTATCAGTTACCGAGACTGTCCTTGGAATATTTTTACTTGTTTTTAAACAATTGTTCAAGGATGTCCAATTAAAGCGCTAAAGTCATATACGTACAAAATGTATGGCATTCGAATAAAAATAATACAATTTTCATATTGTGTCGTCAGACAGGATGCAGGTGAGAAGTACATTGTTCTGGGAGAATACTACTGGTATTATGTTAAAATGTCTAGTCCTAAATATATGTTTTTTTTCCTCCATCTAGACTTCCAAAAAGGAGTCGAAATTTGATTTACGACCATGTTTATTCATAGTAATTCGAAATCGACTCTCATTGTACCCCGTCTTTCGCTTCTTGAAGAAAACATCGTTGACTATTTCTAAAGTCTATTCTTTCAGACTACACAGTCTTTTTTCACCCAAACCAACTGTTGAAACCCCTCAGTGCATATCTGTAAACCTTCTGTTTAACAACATCTAAACTTATATCAGGTACCCTCGGAAATATATCGCACATTACTTTCGAAAACTTTAGAAGGTAACTAAATTGTTTGGTATGGTTTCCGGATATGGTCAATATCACTATCGCGCTGTCGACTTTTCAGTGGATGAAACGATGGTGCGATAACGATGATGCGATGTTGCCATCGTGTCGGGATAATGTAATGACGATGGTGCTCGATTGAAGGCTAGGATAGCGCGATGACACGATGATGGTGATAATAACGTAATAAAGCATCGTCATCGCCTTTGTATCATCAGGGCAACACTTTTTCGCTCCTTCGTACTATCGTCATCGTTTCATTGTACCATCGTCGACCCAAACCTCGATGGCGCAAACTAAATGGCCCTTTCATATGTAATTTTGATGATTTTCATTCTTTCAAGGTTGTGCGGTTCCTAGACGAAGGTATACTGTTACAACGATCCGAAGACTGCCCCGATACCGTCTACCACATCATGTTGAGCTGCTGGAAAACAGACCCAAAAGAGAGACATTCTTTTTGCCGAATCCACAAGCATCTGACTGACTTCAGCAAAGAGATCTTAAAAAGTTCAAATTGCAGCATAAATGCCTCAGAAACGCAAAATGCGTGTTGAAGTCGCTAGGATCATGAATAACATGAAAAAGGTTTTCTTCCAAATAGAAATTCATTTTTAGTTTGTCAGAGGAAAAATGGAAATACATCGTACAACGTCAGTTGAACTTAATTGAGAAATTCTGCTGTGCTAAACTGGAAATGAGGTCGAATGTCCTGCCCTGTGGGTAGACTTTGTTGACATACAGAAGCACAAGTACGACAATATGTAGACCTATTTCTGTGCGGGCTGAATTGTAATAATAACTTCGGTAATTGATGCTTAATGTTTGTTATTCAATCTTTATTCAAGTTTTATTGTACGCCTTAGTACGTTTTCTGTAGGTGTGTATATATTTATATGATTTTCCCTCTATTGTGATACTTTATGTCATAATCTCTGTGCATAAAACAGTAAGCTGGACTTACGGTTCTTTGTATAGAAACTCTCTCTCTCTCTCTCTCTCTCTCTCTCTCTGATTAATTTGCGTCAAGATGTATTTTCATTCAGACCCTATTACTCAACTCCGTTTTCTTTTGTGTGTCATTTTTTTCTTGTCTAGTCATATTATTTTTGCTTTTTGTTATAACCAAAATAATATATTTTTCAATGCACGCGTGGAAACTATAAAATTTTTGACACGTTTTCATGTTACCTGATACGGAGCACCTATGAATGGTTGAACGGATCAACATAACACAAATGACGCGTGCCTCGGGTTATTTCACCATTTCAAAGCAGGAATTTTACTACATTAAAATCATGAAGATAGGCTTTACAACTGTTTAATGATACAAATATGAAAGACGTACATAAATCCGTTAAATAATCTTTTAATGCTACAATGAATTTTTTTATCAGGAAAAATGTTTCCTTGAATGTTTATGTAGTATGCATTGCGTTGTTAAAAGAGGTATTCAATTTTATTATATAGTCAACAAGTTGTTTGTAATAAATTTTGGTATATATTTACAAAATTGTTTATATTCAAGTAGAGTCATGTAATTTTATTCAGAATTACAATAAAATCATTTGGATCCGAACCGATTATTCTACGTAAAAAAACCCTGACATCTTAGTATAATAGACTTTATGTGCGCCTAATATAAGAAGTAATAGGACTTGGAAAAAGGAATCCCATGCCACAATGTAGACAACTGACTTTACGATCATCCACATCAAAATTGAACTTACATGTCCATTTGTACAAAATAAACTTACAATATAAGCTTGGACAAAGTCAAGCATCAATGATAGAATAAGTTAAAATATGGAAAGGGCTACCGTATTACTATACACTAAGCCTATCCTCGCCAAAAATGGTGAAACTGTTAAATAAAAAAGACGCTTACAGGAGTTGTCTCAGTACAATAAAACTCAATGGGCAAGGTCCTCCATCGAGAACAGATAATTGCATACTTTATCAGCATTTAAAAAGATTTTTGCACAGGGAAAAAATAAATGTGGATGATCTGAAAAATACTCTTACAGTTGTATCATATTGTAAATCCTTTTGAATTAACTGGAGATAAATGCAGAATTTACAGTATGACCGTAGGAATCCTTCATCCAAATATTATGATTAGCAATATGAAATTCTTAAACCAAATTTCTCCGTTTTACAGTTCGGTGTGGTGTCACCGCCAACTGCAAGTCCACGTTATCCAAGAACTTATAAAGAAAAATTTAAGTGAAAATTTTTGTATCTCTCTCAAATGGAACTAAAGGCCAATCGGTCAATATAAAATGACGAAATTTTTTGCATGTGTAAATTACCATCGATAACTCTGAAAAGATCTAGTGTTATTTCAATTGACCTACATGTACTTTCATTGGAGATATCGCCACTCGTCTTTGGAAATGTCCATATACCTTCACCACCATCTGTTCTTTATCCTGTATTTGTAGATACTGAGTTAATGTTTATTTGTCCTCTGACCTACTTTAAACAAAGTTTTTCCCTTAGACTGAAAATCTTCAAATATTCAGTTTTCTGAACTTTCATTCGTTTTCATGCGTTGAGTGGATAAGAGCTCTACTTATGTCAACTTAGCCACTTTGAGAAGTTATATTGTTCTTGGACTACGAAAGGATTAGATTTCGATTTTGAAAATGAATGCACCTTAGACTCAAAAAATCTACAAACATTACAAATTTGTTAACAGGGCATAAAACATGGACCCCCGGAAATTCCGAGGTGGGATCAGGTGCCTAGCAGGAGTAAGCATCCCCTGTTGACCGGTCACATCCGCCGTGAGTCCTAATTGATCAGGCAGATGGAACATTCCGTAGTCAGTATGAAAACAAAGGCATAGCATTTGATATGAAGAAAATTTAGCCAAAATACGACTCAATGATAGATTCTTTTGTTAACAAGGTCATTATAACGACTATAGAATTTACGAATGTTGAGTTTTAACGAAGTTGTTGAAATCCCAGTTACATCAACTTATTTGTCAGTAGCCTACTTTAGTTTAAAAAAACTGATCGTTCTCAGAGCATGCTATTGAGAATCGAAGAAGCTGGGAGACGTAAAGCCCATATGCAGGTGATAGCGGATTATTACAAATATAAGGAAAGTTGATGATGAAAAAGCTGAAGTATCTCGTTTGTCATACAATTTAGTTATTAGTTGACACTTATCGTCTATAGTCAGTAGAACATCCAAATATGAAACAGATGTGACAGACAATTTTATGTCTTTTATTTGAGGTTCACTGGGATATACCGAGTCGACATATGAATGGATTTAACCATATTTAATTGATAAAACAGTCGTCGATATATCTGTGTTTTCTTTTTCTCATCTAAAAGTTTATGAATAAATTCTGCTTGATAGGAGTATAAGAACAGGTCGGCTAATAAAGGAGTACAATTAGTGCCCATGGAATTCCAACAGTTTTTTGGGAGATCTGGTCTCCGAAGACTACATAAATATTGTCAATGAGGAACTCATGCATTCTTTTATTATCAACTTCAGAGTATATTAATTTTGTGTAGAATCAGAGTGATTTTTACCAAAGTAATTTTGTTGATGACCAATCACAACATACGAAAAATTCCCAGTTTCATTTTTAATGAGAAAGCAGTTGTCAATGATATCAAAAAGCCTAGTTTTTAATTTATCGTGAGGAATGGTTGTGCAAAATGTCAAACTTACACATTCCTAAATGGAAATTCTTGAGATTTATTTTTTTTCTCTCTTCCCTTGTAAATATTTTATTTCATTTCTCCTGCTATTTCATTTATTTTGACAAAATCACATGTAGAAAAAAATTTATTTTATAGAAAATTCATTGTATCATTTTTAATTTACATATTAGCTGTAACATGTCTTTCACTGCGTTTACAAGGTAACTACCTAAGAATACATTTTTCTCCCAAAAAGTTGAAAAAAGCAAACATATTTTGAAATTTATTAAACGTTAATGAAAGCATTTTAGCTCTAACAACTTTCTGTAAATGTCAACTCATTCTATGTATAAATATGCATATCCATTTACAACATATTCCTCAACAAAGATATTTAAAAGCCCATTATACAAAACTCGGTTACAAATATGCACGTAATAATTTAAATTTTACCATTTAGAATTAAAACTAAAACGGAATACAATGAGAAGAACGAACAAAAGCTACCCTGTAATTCGGTATATGTCTTCAACTCTCAAGGCAATGGGCATGTTCACAAAAGATTCATATACTGTACTGTACAGTACAGTACTGACCGACGACTAAATAATAGACACCACTTGATAAGATGCACCATGGAGACCATGTAATTAGATCCTTCTCTTCTCTTTTAAAAGGGAAGTAGATAAGGACCTTTAGGGGAAAAAGACCAATATCTAGAATAGAGCTGGGACCATATCCTGTCACATACTGCATATCACAAATACATAACATGTATACTAGATTTCATGCATACTTATATAATGGCGCTTAACTATTGATAGATTCTTCTGACAAATAATCACTTAACAATTTTTTGCATTTTGCTTTATGTTAATTATGTTTTTCATGTATTTGTACTAGTATGAAATTATTAAATTAGCATCTGTAAACACGCCTTAAAATGGGAGTGGGGGTCTGTTACTTCTCTATTTATACCAAATCATTGATCAGCCATGAAATTATAACCACGAATTTTTGTCTCACTAAGAATGAAGGTGAAGCTACGCCACAGTATAATAATATATTTTGGTATGTTTACTTTTTTTCAATATACTGTTTTTCCTTCAGTTTTTGTTCAATTTCTATAATAATGGTACAAATGAAAACATAATCCCTGCATCGGTTGTTTTATTGAAAAGTGTCACCAAACCTTCGATGAATGGAACAGTTTAAAATAGAGATTATATTTTACAAGCACATGTGTGCAAGAGTATTTGAGTTCTTGACCTATTCAAATTGAACAACATTATCCCTTTATCTCTTCCTTGGAAATGATTTTCTGCAGAAACAAGAGGAAGCATACTTTGAGTATTAAGTAAGATACTTTGTTTACAAACAAATGTAAATCTGAGCTAGCTTATGTTAAAACTGTTACAATATGACTGAATTTTCACAAATTCATTTTAATAAAAACATTCAAAATTAAAAATATGACTAAATACAATATGGTTAAAATATAGTATCATTGCACTTTAAATTCCACACTTCACGAAGAGATCTTGGGTCAAGTTGATGGGAAGTGATTATAATGGAATTTTTGTAATTACAACCAAGCGGAATACGTACTGCGTTAAAGCCGGGGATTTGCGTGAACTTCATACCAAGTCTGTGTATACAAAGACCTACATAAACATCCTCTAAGTAAAAGAAAGGGACATGTCGGGAAACATCGTAAACTTTCTGGACAACAGTCATACTAGTGACATATCCAGTACCGGAACAGAAACCCGGATATTTGGATTGAGGGTACATTTCTTTAGGAACGTACCATTTATAGCCTTTTTGGCGAATGGGGCCTTCATTCAGTCGACAGTTACCCCCAATTGACCTTTGAAGAACACTGTCATACTTCTTAAGAGCCAGTTTTAACGCTGGTAAACTCACAAACATATCATCGTCTGTTTTCATTACAAATTTAGCATTTTTGCATTTGATGCTAGCCCATTTAAATCCCATTATAGTTTTTAAAGTTAAATTATTATAGCTGTCTATAAAATCTTCCTGAACAATATCTCGATGGGTAGCACTCTCCGTTTCAAGGTCTACCTGAAGTTTTTTATTCGAGGTCATTCCTAAGAGGAACACATATCGTATGCTGCCTTCGTTTTTCTTGGTCTGAGTAAGCCAGGTTTCTCTGAGAGCCTTTCGTCTCTCTCTATTTGAGTGGATAGTACAAATTAGCACGATTATATCCACTGTTTGACTTGTATCTGTAGGTTTACAAATATCTTCATTGTCCAAAATATAGGAATAATTGTGCGGGAAACAGGAAGTGCAGTTTAAAGGCCTCTCCTTATTTGATGGTTTCTCTTTCGCTGTGTTTCCCTTTTTCTCCATAATTTTAACTTCTTTGGTTGTGAGAAGTTGTTTAGATGTAGAGGGTCCTCTTCTAACAGAAATTGTAATTTTTAAATTCGGATTTCCCTCAGTACTTTTGTTATGAATTTCACTCGACTCCATGTTAAGTTTTGAAACAGCTTCATTCAATGCTTTGCTCAATGTCCAGATTGTATTTAGACGGGAAGAGGCAGTGATAATATTTAACAGGACAAGTGTAGACAATGTCGCTGTTAAATATATCATGGCTGTGGCATTACAACAACGAAAACATCGATTAAATCCTGTTATTGATTTGCAATCCGCCATAATTATTTTTTTTTCAGTGAAAATTATCCATAGTGGTTTACACGTCCAAATTTTTTCACAGATATCAGGACAGCAAAAATAAGATCCACAAACGCTTAAAATGGATAGATCTGTGCGACAGAAGGATGTCAGCATAATGATATAAATAACTATTCAGGTAGAGTGGTTTAAACTTCGATCGGTCGCTTTAAATTAATCAAAGCACTGCAAGTACTGATTCAAGATAGTAATATTCATCACCGGATGAATATGATCATCTGGAGATGAATGCCTATGGATAATTTTCACGTTTCCAATAATGATGACTTTAATACATTTGCAAAAACTTGTTTTAATCTACAGATGGTATTAAAATGAATTTATAAGGAGCATCTTAAAATTTTCACTTATTTCAATAAATTTAATCCAAGTGTTCAGTAATTCCATTCAAAATTCGGTATAAAAACATCTAAATAAATACGTAAAACGTAATCCAATTTAATAGTCGAAAGTTTATTGGAAAAGTCTGATAATTTAAAAACAGAAAAAAACAAGATCTGTTTGTAAAACACTATGCCCCCGATGGTAACACAATTCTGGAGTTTGACGTAAACTACAGTGCAATAGTATGGCCAATGTTCAAGTTTTTCAAATATAGGTCAAAGGTCACAGTTGAGGTCACATGATCAAAAATTTCTGTACCAATGGAAAGGTCTTGTCATAATGAACACTCATGTCAAATATTAAAGCCTTACCCTTGACAGCGCAATAGTTATGGGCTAGGTTAAAGTTGACAACAGACAGACAGGACAAAAACAATATACCCCCGGGATTTTCGATCCAAGGGCATAAAAATCAGATAGCGAATCATCACAATTATCAGCAAATTTTACAAGGAGCTTTAATGGTCAGCTTAATAAAGAAGACGCTTAAATTATGTCACGATCGATCTATAAAGGAGAAGAAGGAAGAAGAAGAGGGGTGAAGAAGGCGTGCAGAATGCCTATAGCTTCAGATATGTAAAAATCATATTCAATTTGTGAATTTAGTATTTAAAGTATAGTTTTCATTATTGAAATTGACGAAATTATGATAAACAAAACTTTCCTGATGAAAATTCTCTCGGCAAAAATTATTCTGTTATTAAAAAATTATGTGGTATCTTGGCAACCCTAGCAATAAAAATCCTGAGTATCATTTTTTTCTTCGAGACTAACACACTAACAACTACGCTACACAGCTCCTGATGAATGGTGGCATTTAAATCATGTTTGTGATATGACCCTTGACTAAATGGACTTCATGTATTTCTCGGAAAGATGCGAATGTCGTGACATAAAAGTGTATTTCAAAGGTATAATGGGTCTTTGCTTCATGTTTTTGTTAGCCAAGAAATGTGTATTTTTACGCAAACTTTGAGGAAAAACTTTCAAAAATATGGAGCGAAGACCCACTCATATCGAAAAATTGTGTTATAGTATGAGAAAATGATCCTTTTTGCCCTCTTTAGTGTGTGTACACCATTTCATAGGCTAATAATATCATTCAATGTGAAATTTTTGCAAATTTTGGAGATTTTACACGAAGTATACTTTAATGTTAGATGAAATAAAGAAAATTTTGTTATAATTGAGATTTCATTTTTCACCTTCATGTTTGTCGCACTTTAGGCACTTCGCTCGCATTGTTCGCCCATCTTCTTTACCAATCCCGGCGTCTCTGATACACTTATAACTGGACAGATCACATAACTTAGATAGATCAGTTAAGTTTAAATCTTAATAAATTAAAATCAACCTATTTAAATTTACCTAATGAGTTAAAGTCAAGTGTTTCTTATAAGATATTGTATCATAAAGCAAAAGATTTATGAAAAGTATGAGTTGAGCGAAGATTTGAGAAACTCAGCTAAATTCAAAAGCAAGATAGACAGCAATATAAGTGCCAAAAAAAACCCCCAAAGGTTATATATATACCGTATCGTCTTTATCGTGCATGTCAAGGTCACGCGACTTTTATTTTTAGCTTATAAACAACACTAAATTGGAGCAAAGGTAAGAATTATGTTCTGGTAATCATTTTTGAAGATTAATTGTTTCGTTTACAAACATTCAATTTTTGGGACTTGAGACCATGGTGACTTCTTCAATATTTTGCGCACGCGTACAATGCGGAGGAAGAAGTGAAGGAATATTTTCGTCTTGGGCCAAAAAAAAAAATTCTCCATAAAAAAAAGAATTTTTTAGGTTCCGAAACCTGTAAATTTCTGAAACCTAGTAATTTCAGGAATTGAATAAAATTTGCACGTTTTATACAAAAATTCTGTTTCTGTCAATTTTCATATTTGTGCGTCACGGTGTCGCTTTTTGCTGACATATCAATGTATGATAACCTCTTTCTCTACTAAATACGTGAACAAAGACCAAACAATGCATATACATGTATTTGAATACAACTATTTACTAAATTAATTTAATAAGGAATAGAATTTTAAACTTCTTTTCATTCTTTTCATTTCTATATTGTATTAGTTAAGTAATAATCAAAATACATTCAATTGTATATTGTCAAAAAATTATTTATTTCCATGTTGATGAATGAATTAAATGAATTATTTATTCACCAATAAAAATCATTCTTACAATTGCCTTTTTTTCATAACTTGTGATCCAAAATGACTGTATTTTTTTTTTCTTTTTAAAAAATATTGATACATGTGTATGTGTTTCAAAATTATTAATACGTAGAACCTGATTAATCAATATCCATTAAAACAAATATTTATGATATGCAGTTTGATAATGAACTTGTACACCACAGGTAATTGTTACAGGTAATAATCCTAAAACAGACTATACACAGGTGACCACTCGGATGTGAAAATCCCAATTTTGGCAAGATGGGAATAAGAAACTTGTATATTATTAATAGTATACAGTTAAAGTATATCATTGAGGGAGGTAGCAAGATTCCAGTTCCCCAAGGCCAGGACTATTTCCCGAGGCGAAGCCGAGGGAAATAGTCCTGGTGAGGGGAACTGGAATCTTGCTACCTCCCTCAATGATATATTTAACTGTATACTATAATATATATGAATTCAACGCAGGGATAAGTTATCTGAACTAACACAGGCGATTAGTCCATTCACATATCATAACAACGTAAAAGTAAAATTTAAAGGATTACTGATAACCGGGAATTAGCTTTCGAAGCAGGAATTAGCTCACTTGACTAACGCACGGGGATTAGTCCATTCTTAACGATTTCTAGGGAATTAGTCACATCTAACGATCTAATGTTATATAGGGAAAAATCAGTATAGGTATAATAATATTTCTCAAAGGTGACATAGGTCCATCGGCCGGGTGCACCGTATACAACGGGTAACGCGGGGGAGTCGCTAAAAAGTGTGGGGGAGTCGTTTTCAACGTATGGGGGAGTGCATTTTTCACCGCTTCGGAGGCAGGAGAAAGGTAGGTCACGCCTTTTTTCGTCATTTGTAGCATGTATTTACAAAAATTGTATATCGCACGGAAGACAACGATAGTTATGCTTTCTTTTGGTCATTAGTCCGGCTCTCAAATATGTCTAGTATTCTCAAACACTTCGAAACTATTGCACAGATTTCAAATTTACGGCGATTGAGTGGTCAAAACATGAATGTTTTGCACAAGCTACGACTTGCAATGTGGTTTAGATAGTTAAAACAGCGAAATAAAACTTTTATCTCTTACCTGCAGCAATCAAAACTTTTCAAACCCTTAGAAAAATAAGTAATTGGGACATTTTCTCTTCAGATAGTAATTGTTACGCAGGGGGGAGTCGTTTCTGGGAAAACAGAACGTATTGGGGAGTCGCAAAAAAATCTATTTCATTTTAAATTTCGGCATTTTGTTTATGTAACGGTTAAAAAAACGCGAAACGCGCACCATACTTTGTTAACCTTATATTCTATTTATAGAGATTCTGTCCTTGCGCCAGGTATTTAATTCTATTTAGAGATTATATTAGTAAAAACTTTATAAAAATACTATTTGACTATTTATCTAGTTTTTTTCTATTTTCAATTAATTTTCAGTGCAGTGAACTGAATTTATAAAATCATTATTTGCTGAGTAAATCTCTAAGATTTAAAATGGTTTGACAAGTATATATAATAACATTCGCTGTGCTGACGCCCCTGGTCCTTACGTGTTCGAGAGTGATCCGTGTTATGGTAAGAGTGTTTTGTTAATCTTATGTTTTATTAAATTTGAATTATACTAAATGTGATATCTTTTGAACGTTTAGATAATAAGTACCGGTATCGTGTTTATTTAAATGTAGAGACCACACACGCAGTGACACTGTTATGAGTGACTGGGTGTGGCGTCGTCATATTTTGGGGGTTTGTTGTTCGATTAAATTTGAATTAACATATACTGATTAAATCTTCTTTTATTCGTATTTTTGTGTTTTATTGGTAATGTATGCATGTATTATTTTTTTGTTTGTAGCTCATTGCCAATTTGATATTTAGTTTAAACAGGTTGGGCACAGTTCCTTTTTCGGGGAAGTATTACTATAAAACGGGATTATTCCTCTTTTCAGTAATAGCGAGCGCAGCGAGCGGCGCGAAGCGCCGCTCGCGAAGCGAGCTCAATAGACTAACGTGTAAGAACAGAGGAAATTCGGAATGAAATCTGTACATACGTCAGGGAAATTTTCTGAGGCAACATTCCCAGAATTCCTTCGCTACCAGGGTTCCATGCGAAATTCTTACAAAACATTCAAAAGACCAAGGATAATTATTCATTACCGAGAGATACGTTTACTTTTCTTTCTTTGCAGAGGGCTTAAAAGAAATAAAAAATAATTACATCCACTCTACAACGTATTTCATTTATTATTGCACAAGATCTTTAGTCTCGTTCAACCAGACGCTCGGCTGTCTCCGTAAATTCCGACGTCATGTGACGTCACAGTCTTGACTGTGTCTCGTGCGGTTTGACGTTTGAAGAGGCGGATCCATCAACGTTAGAAGTGTAAACTGTGTATAGGTTTTTGATGGTACAACTGCGCTCGCCCCCAACGGTCACACCGTAAAACATATTAAAAAACATTACTGTATACGGGAATTTTCACTCGTTTACCCTCTATTTCGTGTTTGCTTTGAATAAAAGATTAAGTGCAAGTATATTTTCACATCCTCTAAATATTTATAGTCTATTAAATGTATGTATGCTCAAAACTACAATATTTATCGCTGCAAAATGCTGAAAAAGAGTGATGAAATATTTCTACGATATAAATTTCTTACGGAAGCTTATCTGTGTTAAAATCGTTAGATTGAATACGTTCAGCACTTGATAACTCGTACATGAAACTATTCGTTCTAATTTAATTTCATACCATTTCTTTCAAAGACATCGTAAAAATAATTTTTTATACCACTGCTTCTTTTACAGATGAAAATAATTATTTGAAATATTGAATTTTAAAACATAGTCTTTCAAAGATGGTTTTAGCATGAATGCCCTTACAAGATTCCATACTTTTCGTATCATTTATCAACAGGGAAAATTAAAGTAAAAGTCGTGGATTACTGCTGCACGTGAGTTTAATTTCCTATGCATGTTCAAAAGATGTCACCTCCACGAAACCAAGCTATGAAATTTTCCGTTTTTGAACAAATAATAATATAAATTATAAGGGAAATATTCACATCCGTTTGAAGAATACTCATGATGTCGTACGATTAAATCTTATCTTACTCCCGTCTGCAGCACTAAAGGACCGAAATTTTTTGTCAGCGAGGTTGGTTTAATAAAGTTTAAACACATCACGTCGTATTTTTCATGCACTTTTTATTTAATAAACGGATTTGGGGCATTATTTTCAAAATATGACGAAAATTCCCGTATGCAGTAATGTTTTTTATTACTGAAGAGAGGAATAATCCCGTTTTATAGTAATACTTCCCCGAAAAAGGAACTGTGCCCAACCTGTTAAATAAAGAACAGTACAGGAAACTTGACTTTTGTCGTTACATTTACCTTATGCTTTCTTACTTTACCTGTTTTGATTTTTTATTTTATCATAGTTATATAAAGATTAGTATTTATAAGCAGTATGCAGAAATGAAATGAAATCGTGTACCTAATATGCTAAAATATTTTCATGTATAAGTCAACATGTAATAAAGTTAATTTGTAACCACTAGAAACATTGTCAGAAGGTCCTTGGATTCACATTTTAAATAAATTGTAGTCGGATATGTCTTTAAATCTAAACCATTTGATATGTCCCTATGATTATAGTTGGAGTTGCTATAAAATTACACTTTCTCTTCCTGAAAAATACCGATGTTTCTATGACTGGCATATAAGTCGCGCAAAGAGTTTCGAACCAATATTCAACTCCAAAAAATCGACTTAAAGGCGAGTATATACTGGGTATATTCTTACACTTGTTAGACACAGGTTCCGCAGGGGTCGAAATTCATCCCCGGGCTGAGTTGGTACATGTAGTGGGTATCTTTATTTTGTGAATTTTTTTATGCTTTATACTAAATTTTATTAATTTTGTATGGGTAAGACTACCGAAAGAGTTCATTTTATTTTCTTTTGCGACTCCCCAATACGTTCTGTTTTCCCAGAAACGACTCCCCCCTGCGTAACAATTACTAACTGAAGAGAAAATGTCCCAATTACTTATTTTTCTAAGGGTTTGAAAAGTTTTGATTGCTGCAGGTAAGAGATAAAAGTTTTATTTCGCTGTTTTAACTATCTAAACCACATTGCAAGTCGTAGCTTGTGCAAAACATTCATGTTTTGACCACTCAATCGCCGTGAATTTGAAATCTGTGCAATAGTTTCGAAGTGTTTGAGAATACTAGACATATTTGAGAGCCGGACTAATGACCAAAAGAAAGCATAACTATCGTTGTCTTCCGTGCGATATACATTTTTTGTAAATACGTGCTACAAATGACGAAAAAAGGCGTGACCTACCTTTCTCCTGCCTCCGAAGCGGTGAAAAATGCACTCCCCTATACGTTGAAAACGACTCCCCCACACTTTTTAGCGACTCCCCCGCGTTACCCGTTGTATACGGTGGGGTGTTTATATATTGTGATATGATTCTAAGTGATTATCTATTTTGTTTAACAGATGTCAATATAATAAATAAACACTAAGTACTACTATAGCCACTATCGTTTTTGGTTCCTTAATTAGAATATCTGTCACGTGATAACACACCAATTGTTAGGCAAAGTCGTAAGTGAAAGTAAACAGACACCGTTTATGCATGTATGGTGTACGGACACGGACAAGGACTCAGTTGTTATTGGTGCTCTGTACCTATTTATACTGCCAATGGTCGGAAGTAATGTAATTTAGCTGCTTATTGTGACATTTCATGTCTTCCCTTGACCGCATCGTAATCTTCCGCTCCTTGAACTGTTTTCATGGTTAAGTATTTCCCCGTGTCATTGAACAATATGGGGCAGAACAAAAAAAAAGGGGTGGGGGGGATGCTCACCGAGAGAACCAGACGGAGATTCTAATTCAACTGAGAGATTCCACTACATGTATTCTATATACACTGTACGTCTGTTTATGGGTTTTGATAAGTTTGCAGAGATTCTGGACTGGTTGATTTTCGTTTTTTGTTATTGTTTTCCATTAGTTTTAAAGTATGCATTTTAAAACAGTTCAGTGTAAAGAGGATTTTTAAGCAATCGTGCAATGGAGAGATATGCGCAAACTGGAAATTAATATGCATATGCGAACATGTATAAACATATTTATGACTAATGTATAACATCAGCAAACGCAATTCTTCTCAGTGTTTTTTTTTCGTACGTAAAGGATAGCATGCAGCTTCTAATAATATAATGCACATTTGAATTCAATGTTTTTTCTAGCGATATTTGGATGTGAATATAATTATGATAATATGCATAGAGCAATGCTTCAATAATTATTCAAAGATGATTTCTTTCTTAAAAATTACACACACACACACACACACACACACACACACACACACACACATATATATATATATATATATATATATATATATATATATATATATATATATATATATATATATAATCATCATCATCATCAATTTGAGATATCTAGGGGAAAATATTCATTCTCTTTGACACGCTCCCACTGGAAAATAAAAATATGAAAGGTACCCAAATAAAGCAACAGGGTTGGGAAGCATGTTTTGTTTGACATCTCTCTAGGTTTTCTTGTACCCAAAACAGGGTTCCACAACTTCCGGTGATGTAATAAGATTATGTTGTATAAAAAACTACGACTTCATCTTTGTTCTTTAGACAGGCGAAGTGGCGAAGTAATACAGACGAAGCAATACAAAATGTAAGTTTTAGATAAGGCATTTCAAATCACTCGATTACTTTATTGTTATTTATTTATTATTATTTTATTTATTCATTTATGATGATTATTATTATACAATTTTAATTTGGGAAAGGGAGGATTTGTCGATATCTTTTTATGAGTATGTCATTTTTTTTTATCTACCCTCCCACAAAAACAGAACAAAACAAAATAAAGCAAATAACAAACAAATAAACCATGCAAACAATACAAAACAAAACACACAAAATCTGCGCTTGTAATGGTTTTATGATAACCTGTTGGTTTTTTGAACATGACGATCCAAAGTAAATTAATATATTGTATGATATACAGAAGAGCACTAAACGCAAAATAATTTTTGATGCTGACGAGAATCCACTTTTTACAATTTTCTTATTTTTTTTTTTTTAAATTATTTATTTATATTTGGATGGCTGGACTACGCAGACTAGATGTTATAGGTTGGAATTCTTTAAGATACTTTTTCTTTGTTTTTGTTTTTTTCATTTTTCAAAGTTATTCATTCTTTTATTTCCTTTGCTGAAGTTGACTAGATGTCACAGTTTGGAATCCTGGGGACCGACTGGAAGTGTCCTCCCTATTTTTTTCCCAGTCTGACAGAATGGATCACGATGTTGCATATGAGTACTGTAGATTATAACCAAATAAATAAATAATGAAATTGTGGAACATAAAAATTGCCTTGAATCGCTTGTTAGCATCAATAGGCCTCTTACATGCAAGTAAATTGCGAGCTCAAAAACATGCTTCGAGGAGAATGGCAACAGGGAGTATACTGGAAGACGATCTTCCGATTTTAACTGATTTTTAGTCGAATTGTTCTTGATAAATATTTCCAAGTTTACATGTACATAGAATGCAGGTAGGCGCAGCTTGACCGTAGGGCTTATCAGGTTGTGGTTAAAATCCAAGTACTTGCATAAATTAACAAGCTGTATGCCATAGGCTGCTGTACCGGGCCAGTAGAAATGTGTGACATGCTTCACTCGTGTTTCCTTCTCTAACCTGCACATTTATTATATCCTGCGGGTAAAACAAATTTAGGTACTGTAGTCATAAGAGCTTAGAAACTGCCATCCATTTAAACTAGTTGATAAAGAATACGCAATTATTTAATCTTAGCAAACTGGATAAGCACTCAAGGCAAGATGGAGGAATTGAACTTTAAAGTTTCTACCTGGATTACGGGGGTGATCGACACTCTTTGATCCCACTGTATTATCTGTGTGCCAACACTTTTATGTGACACAATAACTTACTCCTCCAGGATCCCAATGAAAAGAATTTTTTTTTTTTGAAATGTCAATAAAGGTGTAAATATTAAGTTCATCTATTTCATTTTCAACATATATAGGGTATTTTACGAGGACAAACAATATTGATGAACAGAAATCATTCGTTCTTACTTAAATTGCGGAAAATACTTGTATATGTAAAATTATGAGTTAAATGAATTTATTTTGGCATAAAAAAATATTAGGAATGCCTTAATTGATAACAGATTGTGAAATGCAGTGAAGATTTTAATTCATCCTATGTTTTATTCAAGGGTAGATCATTCTAATTGCATGAATGCATAAAAATGCCACAGAATTGGAACACCGTAGTGTGCAGTGTATCGTCTAGTATCGAAGAATTCGTAGGTTAATATTAAAGGAATTGTACACTTTCTCGAAGAAATATTAAGGTCCTTCATTTAACTGAACTAAAATCATCGAATTATTTTGGAACTGAGATCGAAGGCAGGTGGCAAAGAGATTCGTGTCTCTAATATCTGTCCACTGCTATAGTCTTGGCCCTAAGAATGATGAGTTTCTAAGTCTTAGTATTATGAAAAGCAAAGGTTCAAATCAGCCCAGGTCAATATTTAGGTCAAAGTTCACAATGTTATTTAGATGTTGACTCCAGGGAGACTGGTGTTCCTGGGCCTTATCCTGCTATTAGGTGTCTGTTACGGTCAGCCTCCACAGTCTGATGCTGGTACTGGAGTCATAGCAGTTGGAGCAGCTGGTCTTCTTGGTCTTGCAGGTAAATCCATTTATTATACTTCTTCAGACAAAGTGCTTTGTTACAACGCAAAATGTAATAACGACGCAAAATGTAATAAACTGAGATTATTACATTTTGCGCTGAGATCAACGGTGAATGTAATAGGCAAAATGTAATGACAATCTTTTTGGTTTATAACATTTTGCGCTATTGCATGTTGTGTCGAGGTTAAGGCAAAATTACACTCTGGATTTAGAATTTGGGCATTATTTAAGACTTTTTTAAAATCACATTTCCTGATATTTCAAAAATCTTTAAATACTATATGGTATTGAAAAATATGAATACATGTAAATTCACATTTTGAGTCTCAGGAATATAGGAATATTTGAATATAAATAGTTTCTATATAAATGCATCCATTATTTAGTGGAGTTAATAAGCTTTCATTACTTTGTGCGATATTTTATTATGCATTAGCTTCGACGCAAAATGTAATAACGTAAAATGTAATAATCCAAAAAAGTGTGTTTTTGCATTTTGCGTTTTTTCCATTTTGCGTTGAACTCGACGCAAAATGTAATATGCAAAATGTGATAATTCATAAAGTGTGTTATTACATTTAGCGTTATTACATTTTTGCGTTGATCTCGACGCAAAATGTAATAACGCAAAATGTAATGATCTTAGCTTATTACATTTTGTGTCGTTATTACATTTTATGTACATTTCAAAATGTAATAACGTAAAATGTAATCATCCATAAAGTGTCTTTTTACATTTTGCATTGAACTCGACGCAAAATGTAATAATTTAAAGAGTGTGTTATTTCATTTAGCGTTTTTACATTTTTGCGTTGATCTCGATGAAAAAATGTAATGATCTCGGTTTATTTACTTTACAAACTATAGATTTATTTAGTTATCACCGGAAAACTCCTAGCAAATGCTTTACTCTATATTTTTATAGCTATTTCCGCTTCGGACCACAGTGTTAGTCACATACATTTGTTAAGAATTTTTTGACGAGGTCAAGATCTCTGAGAGAGAGAGAGAGAGAGAGAGAGAACCAAGAGACTTAAAAAAGTTCCTAGAAAAAGTTGCAGAATGATACATATATCCCTGTCCTTTGATATTCTTTAAAGAGTTTATCCATTTTTGCAACTCCAATGTTTAGAAATAGAACCAATACACTTTCAGCATCTAATGCAGTGTTAGCTGCTCAAAATCAAATTCTGCGGAGGAATTGTAATAAAGATTGTGTGGACGAAAAAGACGATTGTGAGGAAAAACTGAAAAAATGTGAAGAGGAGAAGAAGAAACTCCAGCAGGATTTAGACGGTACTATTTTTTCTAATCTTAAATATTGTGTTCAATGGAAAAATTCATCAGTCAATTGATGGTGATAAAGGGGAATCTTATAGTGTGGGTATATCGCACAGTAATGTACAGAAATCTTAAGCGCGATGGGTGTCAAATTGTAAATTTTGAATTTATCGCGTGGCAGTTAATACAAAATTTACAAAATTGTCATGTAAAATCTGTATTTACCACCGTCCGCTAATTTCAAAATTTACATGACAGGGGGTTGAAACGTTATGATCGTGAACACACTGTGCTGGGGGTTGGAAAAAAGGGTTCGGATGGCTGGTATAGTCGAGGAAATTAGAACGAGATTGACGGTCGCGAGGATGAATGCAGGCACAGGGGGTCGGGTAATGGGAGCGAGGGATTTGTTATCATGTTGAGCTGAAGAACAAGATTCTTGAATAGGGGTCAGAGACAAATATGAAAGGATTCTTTGCACATATTGTAATTTTAAACTAGAGGTACTGTGAGCACAGATCTCACAAAATGATACCCTTGTCTCCCATATGTTTATAATGGCAAAGGCCATGTTTTGCTATGGGAGACCCGAAAAAGTGTCCAATCAAAAGTGAAATAGGAGGTGCACAATGGCACTATGTAACAAAAATTCTGTGAGAATCTTATTAAATTTTATTCAGTGGTATATGAGGAGTTGCGGATAAGAGATGTGTATCCCAAAGCATAACGGACGGACGGACGTACATACAGACTGACGGACACCCCCATCACTATACACCCCTCCCCCGCTTTTCAAGCGGGAAGTATAAAAATTGAAGATATTCTAACATATATTGTAAAGATTTTGTAAAACTGTCTACTTAATATTGTGATGATCAGAGATTTAGTGATTAGGAACTCTCTAGTAGGGAGAAGATAACATTTAGTCAATAGCCAATGAAATTAGAAAAGTATAAAACTGATTTCTTCTTAGTCAGCAGGATAATCGGTAGGACAGTTGTGGTAGAGAACTAAAACTGCAGAAAAGAACTTAGGATAAGGAGAGACGGGGTTTAGACGTGACTGAACGACTAATATTTAAGTTAACTTTTAATTAAAGTGAGCCATCAGTTGAGACATAATTGAGACAACTAAATAGAGATACACTACGACCGTTATAAATAGAGCTAAATATTACCCTGTCCCATTATTTTTGTAAATAAGTCCTCTTTGTTAGGTTCTCAAAATGAAAAAGGGTGAAGATAACGAGAGTGATCGATCTATTAAAAACTTCAAACAATACAAATCTGTGAACAGGGCATAAGCACGGACCCCTGAAAATTCCAGAGGTAAGATCAGGTGCCTAGGAGGAGTAAGCATCCCTTGTTGACCGGTCACACCCGCCGTAGACAGAACATTCCGTAGTCAAAGGATGACTACATTCAACACTGAGTAGGTAGACGAAACTTTCCATAGTTAATTCAGTATAAAAACAAAGGTCTAACAAGTCAACCAAAATACGACCCAATGATATATTATTAATATTTGCTTATAAGGTCACTATAACGAGCATAGAATTTACGAAATGCTGACTTTAAACGAGGCTATTGAGATTTTTTTATGCCCCTGGATCGAAAGATCCTGGGGGTATATTGTTTTTGTCCTGTCTGTTTGTCTGTTGTCAACTTTAACCTTGCCCATAACTTTTGATTGGTTGGAGCTATGACTTTCATATTTCACATGTGTATTCCTTGTGACAAGACCTTTCCTTGGGTACCATCATTTTTGACCTTGACCTTGGAGTTTGACCCACTTTTGCAAAATTTTTTGAGACTTTAACCTTGGCCATAACTTCTGAACAGTTGGTGCTTGGGGTTTCAAACTTCACATGTGTATTCTTTGTGACAAGGCCTTCCTTTGGATACCAACATTTTTGACCTTTTGACCTTGGAGTTTGACCTACTTTTGAAAAACTTTAACCTTTGCCATAACTTCTGAACAGTTGGTGCTTGGGGTTTCATACTTTACATATGTAATCCTTGTGACAAGACCTTCCTTTGGATACCAACAACTTTGACGCTTTGACCTTGACCTAGGAGTTTGACTTACTTTTGAAAAAAACATTCACCTTGGCCATAACTTTTGAATGGTTGGTGCTAGGGCTTTCATACTTCACATATGTAAACCTTGTGACCAGACCTTCCTTTGGATACCAACAACTTTGACCTTGACCTTGACATTTTACTTACTTTTAAAAAACTTTAACCTTCGCCATACCTTTTGAACAGTTGCAGCTAGGGCTTTCAAATTTCACAGGTATATTCCTCGAGACAAGACCTTTCTTTGGGTACCAACATTTTTTATCTTTTGGCCTGGATTTTGACTTGCATTTGAGAAATTTTAACCTTCGCCATAAGCTACCATACGGGGGCATCAGTGTTTCTCAAACACATCTTGTTTTTTTTTTTTTTTTTTTTTTGTAAATATTATTGATTATTTTTATAATATCCGCTCGGTCACACGTCAATATAGTCTCAGTAAGCACACAACCTACTGGTATTATCCTGTGTTGACAACGACTCGCTGAAAGTTTAATTCAATAATAGAATTTACATCTAATGGAAAGTTTCAAGTTATAAAAATGTGATAATTCATTTAATAACACATCAAAGGGAGTGATTTCTAAATTTAAAAAAAAATGAGAGAAAGGTTTTCAAAATCTCTACACATAATTGTGAAAATTTGTGTAGGCAATATCCACACTCTCTGAATGTATTTATGTAATGATATGGCAGACGCACACTAATTCTTAAAAAAGTCAATCTCTATAAGGAAAAGGGCTGATGAGATTAGAATATATATAGACATTTTAAAATGTGTAAATATAAGAAATATTATGTATATATTTCATTTCGTATTCATATGGATAATAAACAACACAAGAATAAGAACATATGATAATTCTTTCACAAGTTACTTTGCGATTTATGCAAAGAAGTAGCTCCCATGCAGATTAATTATAAAACACCAATCAATAATTTTCGCACATTAACATTTCTTGCAGATCGGGAAAGTGAATTAGAAGAGGCAAAGAAAACAATTGCAAACCAGAATTCGACCATACAAGGTAATTTAAATAATTAACCTATAAAAGTCTTCCCTGATTAGTATATTTTTAGAATTGTGAAGCATTTCCATGAAGTAGTGACTATTTTATTCTAAGCAGAGGGCTTAAAAAAGGGAGGGGTAGTCTTAGTCCTACAATTTTCAATTGTTCTATAAATGATCTCCACCAGATCTTTGAAGAATCATGTCATCCTTTAATACTCAAAGATTAAAAAATATTCAGCCTACGCCTTGCTGAGATTTTAAATAACATTGTCAACCTTCAAAACGCAATGTCAGACTTGGGGCGAATTACACTGTAAAGTAATGCATTACATTACCATTACTCCGATTTCTTAAGTAAAGCATTAAATTACCATTAATTTAGTAAAGTAATGCATTACTTTTTCGGTTTTCAAATAAAGAAATACAAAATTTCTGCAACTACCTGTATATTATTCATTAACACCCCCACTACATGTACTTTGAAATTAAATTGATGAATGTTGATTCAAACTTCATTATCAAGTACTTGTATTCATTACCCTGTAAATGACAATTTTTTTTTAATACAAAAGATTTTTTTTTTATTCAATTACCAAAAATACCATGTGCAGTATACCTGATTAGTATATATAACTTACTAAATTATATTAAAATATATATAGTAAATAAGTTATTGCAATAAAATTTCTCTGATATAATCCATTCATTGGTGGAGTACATGACGTATTTATTAGTTGCATTGTGGATTTCAAGAAATTACTTATTTCCGGTTAAGTTATACAGCAAATTACGCATAAATTTTAATATGTACATATACTAATATGTTGCCTTTTTTTTCTCTGGAGGCCAGTGATTTGTATACAAACTTTTTTCAGGTTTAAATCAACAAGTTGTAGGTAAGTTTTATGTTTTTAAATATAAATGAACAGTTTTGTATATATATTTTTCTAAGTAATTTGTTGAGAGGGCGATTCGTGTTTTAAGAACTTACACCCAATCCCATGGTATATATTTATTGAATGTATTTATTACAATAAAATATGTTCAAATCAATTTTTAAAACCCAACACATTCCTGCTTTGTTACGTTGGTTTTATTTTTATGTCACCTGAGTCACTTACTGTCTGCTCTGTTCGTTCTTCGAAGTCCTTCGTAAATAAAAGTATCAATTAGAGATCGGACTCAAGATGTAAGTCTACATCATAACGCATTAATTTAAGCAACAAAGAGTAATCATCTGGGGGAAGAACAATCCACACGGAGCTCCTCGGGTGGCTTGTGCCTCGCACACTAACCTCGGATGTGAACGATGTTCTAATACAATCATATGATCCAATCCGAAATTCCTCAAAATTTTCATTTGAAACCTGAGTTACTTTGTGGCACGCCCAACAAAATGTTTCTGCTTTCAGAGACTGCTTACAGAAGGTTGTAATCAAAACTCATTCAAGGAAAGAATTAAACAAGGTAGGAGACTATTTTGGTGAACTTTATGCAGTGTGAAATATGAAAAGACTAAAAAAGCAGTGGAAAAATGCATCGATTTGATGCATATTCCTCCACCAATCACATCCGAGGTTTGTATGGAGCATAGCGGAGTCGGCCAAGGATTGCCACTGGGGTGGCAGGGGATAGTTTTGAATAAAGTATCGTAATTTTTTTTTTTTAAAGGAAATGTTTGGGTGCATATTTTTGGTGTTTTTTTTTATCAAGGATAATTCATTGATGCATTTGGAGGGCAGTGGTACGCTTTATTCTCTTCAGGGAAGTTGACAGACTTTAAGGGTCATCTACTTCTCTTCGTTAATCAACTGTCAGTTTTGATTCTTGAAAATAGATTAACACCGAGTTAATGTTGGTTTTCTTGTAATAAATGTGTGTATTATGTTGTAGATATAATATGTCTTTTACGTAAATTCATGTCTTTTACGTAAATTCATATCTTTTACGTAAATTCAAACACATTTTAGACGACTTGTCAGTTGAAGTGCAGGCCTTCACTGGTTTGACATTTACACGTTTTCCAGAATCAAAACATGAACTTCAAGGTTTGCGAAGGGAATAGGATGAAGGCTAAAGTCTGTCCAAGGGACTGAGTCCACCAAAAACCATCAATCTTTAGAGTAACTCAGACGCTAGGATCATGATGCAAACTTAAGTCAGAATTTGTTCATTGTCTTAGTTTTATGATAGAAAACAAATAAATGTCAATGTTTAAATGTTATTAAAAAGTATTTCCCTATCATGTTATTTTTAAAATTCAAGTGTCCGTTCGATTCATAATTGATATTCAATGAATAACTGAAATACTGACTCAAGTCTAAGACTGCTTCAAGATCCTTGGGCCAAGATGAACCTAGCCTAGCCTTCAGTTGCGGACGACGTACGTGAGATCATTGTCGTCTTTAAAAGGACATAAGATCAAGCAGGCCAGATAAAGATTTTAATAGCGATTCTCTGTAACCACTTAAACTTCTTTGGCACGCATGGTCACCGATTTTGATGAAACTTTGCCCATTATTACAACTTGACACCAGAAACATATATCAAATAAAATTTCGTTGCTATGTGTCTTGGTTGCCATGGTAACAGCCAGAAAAGTTGAAAAAATTGAGATTTTCAGCTACTTTAAATCTTTATTAAGCCTTAATAAAGACTAAGAAAAACAAACAAACCATTCTCCCAAAAACATGACACCTTGTTGCCACTTATGCTATAAAGAAACTATTTAGAATTTATCTCTAAGTAAGTGGTAACCATGGGTACATTTGGAATACATTTTAGATGCTGAAAAATGCTGAAAAACGCTCTATAGTCACAAATGATAGATGTTACATGATCAAACTCAATCAACAACGTTAGAAAAACAATGAAAAATATTTGACCTCATGTAATTAGGTATTGGCAATATTATTCTAAAAATAACTTTCATGGTTGCCATGGTAACACAGTGTCACCATGCAAAATCTGTTGCTATGATTGGGTTAACGCTACTATCGTGAGGAAAAACAATAAAATTCACGACTGGCACATATGCATCTTTAGGACCTTGCAACACCGACAACATAAGAAAAATTGAGATTAATTGTTACTTTGCAGTGTAACCATGGAAACAACGTACTAGTTGTTTAAAGTGATATTTTTTTGCTGCTTTAGGAATTTACTAACCTTTTAATCGAGAAAAATATTATTTGAATCACCTTGAATAATACATATCTCGTAGAACTAAAGTTGAATATCATATATTGATAAAGGTTGTTGAAAAATACAACACTGTTGCTATGGTTACCAAGAAGAGAAAATGTCCGATTTTGTTAATTTTTTGTCAATATTAGACCCTATGTGCCAGCTTTTTGCATCCAGTTAGAGATTGGGTGATAGTCAAAATTGAAAGTCAGGTTAGTTGTTCACATATATCAATCATTAAAGTTTTGGGAATCTACTTACAACGGTACGTATCCAAGGAAACAGAGTATTTTTCAGATTTTTATGCATGTTTTTTCGCCTTATTTCCATAGCAACGCACTATTTAAAGAATTGAAATTGAATTTTTTGAAATGTGAAAATTAGGGTCACACCAAGGCCTTTAAAAATTGATCATCAGTTATATAGAAATATGCTTTTTAAAAAGATAGGATAAGATTAATACACTAAGAGAGTAAATTTAAAATCCCTTCGTGGTATTAAAACCATGGCAACCATTGCCAACCTATAAGAAATATCATATTTTGTCCTTGGTATATGTTACAGTGATCTCTTCTCTATTATTTGATTGCATTTCAACCTATAATTGTTTTTATTCTTAAGTGTATGACTTTATAAAATTAAATAAACAAAATTATTACTTTTGAATACTTTGTTTCCATGGTAACGTATGTTAGAGATGATTTACCAAACATGTTTATCATGCATTCAAGACACCAGGCCTTCAACTTTCAGAAACAGTCATTGCCACTTGTTTGCTTTGCTGCAAACGTTAACTGTGGGACTCTGAAGATGTTGAAAAATGCCATTTTTCAAACTTAAGGACATGTTGCTATGGTAACCATGACACGTAGCAACCAATTTTTGCCTGATTTGAGTTTACGGTATCAAAGACTTTTATCATAGAGAGTTTGGAGAAATTCTGAGACTATGCGTGCCACAGCTCCTATATAAAAGTTCAAGTCATTACAGAGAATGGCTCTTAATTATGCCATATAGAGATCTGTTGAACTTAAAGCATTTACAAAGCAGAAAGTCGTCTTATTGAGAATTTCAAAAGCATAGATCAAGTGTCGGGTCAAGGAAGAGACAACGACAGTTGGTTATCAGAGAAGATGAACATAGATGCCGATGGATTAACTGTCGAGCTATACGGTAAAAGGTATATCGACCTTGTGTTAAATGGAACAACTTGGGGGGGGGGGGGTATTTTTAGATTAAATTCTTGCATGGTTTAGACTCTCTCGTTAAGCATGAGGCTATTACAAACGTGTACACACAAGGTGGCGATCTTGGGATAGACCATCCTCGAGATAAGCAGTTGGAGGGCAATGCACAAGAGTACAAGATTTCAACAGAATAGTTGTATCTTCCAGATCCGAATTATATGACCCAGGGTGAGATTTGTGCAGGGTCTGATGGATAATTCCTTTTGAAGATCGGGCTCGTGAAACCATCCGAAAAATCCTAAAATCGGATTCTGCTATGCTAGCAAGAATTTTGCAGTAAAGAGGCATTACCACTCCGCATTTTGAACCTGTCATCTACTAACAAGGTTGTACAGCCAGAAATCGTAGTCAGTAAATTGTCTCCAGTAAAGGAGGTGCTAGCAAAATCATGCCTCAACAGTGATGCAAAGTAATACCACTGTCACCACTAAAGACGTTTATAACCTTCCCTGTATCGACAAATGGCTGAATCTGTTGAAGAGAGCCGGGTGGTTTAGTAATCTCCACTTGAATCCTGGATGTTGGTAGGTTGAGGTAAACCAGAACGGTAAGATTAAGATGGTTCTCGCAACCCGGCATGGTTTGAATGAGCTCAAAGTGATGCCGTTCTGGCTCTGCAATGTCCAGTACGCGGTATTCGACAATCTTATGTACTACAGTGACAGATATGTTTCATCTATTTATACATTTTTGTAAAATTTGAAGAAATGTTACACAGGAAATGCACCTTGTTTGCAAATCAACTAAATACAGATATGGAGAAAGTTTCGGCCGTGAGGCAATAACAGGTCCAATGAACAAGACACCTGTACGGTTCCTCCCTGGGCATTGCGGGTACTAGAGAAAATTCGTGGTGAACTTTAATTGATTGAGCTTGACTGTTGCAAAAACTTACAGAGGCATTACTTTCAAATCTACAGATGAATGCCAAATAATGTTCATTGTTCTGAAAACTAAGTTAACATCAACACCTATCCTTACTCTTTCAGTGGTTAGAGCGTATACTGAAGAGGCGCGGAGTGAGGTTTTACGTCGCGGTACGTTCGAATCCCACTGCGGGACGTAGAGACTGGTCCTTCGGATGAGACCGTATAAACCGAGATCCCGTGTCGTAGTAGGTGATGGACGAAAATGATCCCTTATTGCTCAGTGGCCCTGAGTGCCGAGTATAGGTCTAAATTTTGCAGCCCCCCACGGGCAATGTGGAGTCTCAATATGAGAGAAAAATTCTCGAAAAGGACGTTAAAACAAACAAATACTCTAAACAATCTATCCTAGAACCCGTTGCAAGTCAAAATGCAATTGATACAGCCTTATTTCAGATTCAGTATATAAAGGAAATGGTAGTCTCTTTGACCAGGGAAGTTCTTAACAAGTCTGAGAAAAGGTACTCTTTAACATGAAGGTGCTCCTGGCAGTAGTGACATTTAAAAAGCACTTTAGGCATTTCTTGTATGGATGCAAGTTTTTGTTCAGAGCAGATCACAGTTCCCTTGCAACGGTTGCTGAGGTTTAAAGATGGCAAGAGGTGATATCGCCTACGATATGGAGATTTGGCATCGAACTTAGAGACTGCATGGATATGCAGATGGGCTAAGTAGACTACCATGCGTCGAATGTAGATATTTCGATGATTGGGAGCAAACAAATGTGACTGAGCAAGATGCAAGGGCATTACAGGATGAGATTATGGACATGGGTATTATTGAATCGAAAGACTTTGTATAGATACAGGATGGAAGTCGGGATATAACACTCGTAAAGATTAAATGGATAATAGTAAGCATCCCGACTACAGTGAGGTTACTGCTGTATGTTATATGGTCAAGTCATTGTGGGAAAGATGGGCTTTGAAGGATATATTGCTGTGTCGTATTTGGGAGCTTGAGGAAAGCAACAAAACGACATACTAGACTCTCGTAGAGAAGATTTACAGCTGGTGCATGACTCCAAGACATCTGGTCATCTGGGGGTGGCCAAAACCCTAAACAAGATCAGACAAAATGACTAATAGCCTGGGTTGCAAATAGATGTAAGAAGTTATATGTTGCTCGATGAATCATATGTGCTAGGAGAAAAGTTCCAATTCAGACAAAAAGAGGTCTTAGCAGCCGTTGCAAGTTGGTGACGAACTGGAGAGGATAACAACCGATATTCTTTGGAAACTCCAAGTCACCGATTAGGTGAAATTTATACAAAATGGTGGTATAAAATTACTTCATCAAATGGACAGAGGCCTTCCCGAAGCCAAATTTGGATCCTCAAATAGTATTGATAAACTTATATTCATTGAATGTTTTGAAAGTAAAAATCAAGAACGTTTGAGTGTTATTTTTCAATATAGTCTCCCTTTACTTGAATATACTTGTTCCAGCTTCCTAATATCATCCCTAACGACGTTTTCCTCCTGGTCATCCAACTATCTATTTACAAAATCTATGACTTCGCCGCTGGCAAAATTTCTTCCACGAAGTTTAGATTGGAGATTAAAGTCTGATAATGCAAGATCTGATGAGTAGTATGAGTGTTGGAGGATTTTAAAGCCGCAATCGGCTGCTGCAGCAACAGCTAGTTCTGATGTATGGACAGGTGCCTTGTCCTGAAGCAGAAACACATCAGCTTGTAATTTTTCCCTCTGTTTTTCCTTGACATCCTCCTTTAATTGTTGCAGTTCTGAAACGTAGTACTGCCCACTGATGGTGTGTCCTAGCTGCAAATAGTCATCATTATTATACCCTTTCAGTCCCAGAATACTGAGACCATTATCTTCCCTTCTGATGCCAATTGCTTAAACTTTTTTGATAAGGATGAACCAACATGTTTCTATTTCTTGCTTTGAGACCTTGGCTCTGCGTCAAAAAAAAAAAAAAAAAATGCTGAACCCAGGTTTCGTCCTGGGTCACAATCCTTTTAAGAACATTTTCTGGAGTTCTGTGATAGCGGCTTAGAAGCTCTCTGGAAATATTAAGTCTGATGAACTGAGCATTCCGGACACCCATCTTTTAGTAAGCTTATTTATATCAGATAATATTGAATGAATTGACACATTACTAATCGTAAGGGTATAAGCAATATACTGATTGATCACTGGTCTGTCGCTCTTCACCATCCGATGGACAGCCTCCACTTGAGTTTCAGATGTGGCATCTCTAGGGCAACCGGAACTTGGATCATCATCAATGCTGATTCTACCACTATTAAACACAGCAATCCATTTATGCAGTGGAATACGAAACTGAACTGATGAGAAAAATACAGGGATGTTTTTTTTATCTACACTCGTAAATGTATACCAATTCTGCATAAACGTGTATTGTCAAAGAGAAAAAAAATTATGGTTCTAGTTTTTAGGGCCTTCAGATGTGGGACCAAAACCATTGATTGAAATTCATACAATCTTTTAAAAAATCCCTTTTTTTTTTTACATCTAGCAAGAAAACTTTTGACATGAATATAATAACTATCTACCAAAACTTTTGAAACTCTTGGCACTTGGGTCTATGATTCGGGCCTAAGGTGCATAAGACTATGTTGAAACTTACTTGAGCCCATGGACATTTAGCATGCATAAGGTTTGCATGTTTTTAATAAGTTATAAGTCAGTCCGCTACCAAACTATTTACAATTCACATGTAATTTGCTTATAAAATGTGTAGAAAGCTACGGCATTCAAAACACCATAACACCAATAGGGGGTCAAAAGGTTAAAGTGTGCGTTTTATTTTGACGTCACAAACGTTGAAACGCCGTGGAAGTGCAACGTCATAAGCGAAAATCAATATTCACGCTCACAATGAACAGAAGCTGTTGCAATGGCTCTTCTATTAATTGTAACTTCCCCGAAGGATAATACAGGGATTTTGAAATATAATCACATTTACAGTCAAGACAAGGAGTTAAAAACTGTAAATATAAGCATTAAATCCTTAATTTTTAAAAGATATAGTTTCATTACGCGTTAACGCGCGTTACTCAATTTGTTTGCACACACCGTTGCAGTTATGAGACTATATCTTTCAACAAATAATGATTCAATGCTTAACTTCACCCCACCCAGGGCTCTGTCCCAAGGTGAGGCTAAGTTGGCCATAAATAGAAAAAAGATATAATCTTTTAAATACATTTTTTTTTATTCATGAATATCTAAGCAGGCAAACTGTTTCCATGATCATAAGGAGCAGTTATCCACGTACCAAGGCTTTCTTTTCTTTTTAGCTCACCTGAGCCGAAGGCTCAATTGAGCTTTTTTGATCGAAATTTGTCCGTTGTCTGTCGTTGTCGTTATCGTAAACTTTTCACATTTTCATCTTCTTCTCCAGAACTACTGGGCCAATTTCAATCAAACTTGGCACAAAGTATCCTAGGGTGAAGGGGATTCAAGTTTGTTCAAATGAAGGGTCATGCCCTCCTCCAAGAGGAGATAATTACGAAATAGCAAAAAATTAATGGCATTATTGAAACATCTTCTCCTCAAGAACCAATGGGCCAGGAAAGATGAAACTCATGTGGAATTATTGTCAGGTAGTGTAGATTCAAATTTGTTCAAATCATGACCCCCCGGGGGTAGGGTAGGACACAATGGACGATCAAAGTTTTACATAGTAATATATAGGAAAAATCTTCAAAAATCTTCTTCTCAAGAACAGCAAAGCTATGATTGGTCATATTTATGCGGAAGCATCCTCAGGTGGTGTAGATTCAAGCTTGTATAAATCATGACCCACAGGGGTAGGGTGGGGCCACAATGGACGATCAAAGTTGAACATAGGTGTATATAGGAAAAATCTTCAAAAATCTCAAGAACAGCAAAGCTATGATTAGTCATATTTATGTGGAAGCATCCTCAGGTGGTGTAGTTTCAAGTTTGTTCAAATCATGACCCTCGGGGGTAGAGTTGCGCCACAATGAACGATCAAAGTTTTACATAGGAATATATAGGAAAAATCTTTAAAAATCTTCTCAAGAACAGCAGAGCCACCGTTTGTCATATTTATATGGAAGCATCCTCAGATAGTGTAGATTCAAGTTTGCTCAAATCATGACCTCCAGGTGTAGGGTGGGGCCAAAATGAAAGTTCAAACTTGTAGAGAAAAATGTCACAGTTAGTCAAAAAATTATGTAAGCATCATTAGTAAGTGTAGATTTAATTTTGTTCAAATCATACCCCCACTCCCTTTTAGGGGTAGGTTGGGACCACTTATGTATTTAAGCTTTTCAATACTAAACTGATTTTTTTCTTTTTTCCTAGCCACAGTGCTCAGGTGAGCGATGTGGCCCCTGGGCCTCTTGTTTTAAATTCATGTCCACAGTTTAACAGTTAAAAACAGTAAAAAGCGTACTTTATGCATGGATACAGTAAGCTATAATTTAAATATTATGAAATATGGGGGCTGCGAAGTCGAACCGAAAGGTGGATGTATCATTAATAAAAGTTAAGATGTAGGCCTACCTATCTTAAAAAAACCTTTTCTTCACGAATATGATGGAGATACCCGTTTAGCGTCAACACCAAACTGTGAAGTCCGTGACACACGAGCCCAGATTGGACTGAGTTGGTTATGTGGGAGATTCATGATATTCAGGTGTTAATGCCCTTTGGCCTCTTATCTGAAAATTGAATGTTGGGTGATCGAAGGAGGACAGAATTTAACGAAATCCCAGTATTAGATATTAGAGATTAGAATCCGGATAGGGCCACATAGTTCACTATCGCACCATCGAGGTTTGGGCCGGTAGTATGATGACGCGATAATGCAATGACCATGAAGCGTTGGTGCGATATCGCGATGACGATGGTTCGATAATGCTATGAGGATGAAGCGATGACGCGATTACACGTATTTCTCTAGTGCGTCATAGATTTCAATAATTGACTAAATTTCTAATAACAAAATGGACATTTAGTTTTTATCTTTTTGTTTTCATTATATTATGAGCTGACTGATTTATATACAATTTTATCTTTTTATTTATAGATTTAACAGAAAGATTTAGCGGTAAGTTTTTTAAATAGATAGTTTGGAAGAATTGTCTTCTTATTCACTACTCATCTTGATTTCTTGTGGGAAAAGAAATGTGTGTGTCGTGTTTGGGGCGGGCAAAGGAGGGAGGGCACAAAAAATACTTAATTTGAATGAGAGGAAGCAAGAAATGGAACATCAGAACAGCTGTTACTGCTTTCTGATTATTAAATACCGTAGATGGGGTTTCTATCATGTTCTTTTTTGGCTGATCTGAGTTGTAGTATGTTCGTCATCAAGCTGTTTTGATCTACTTCCATCCCCATATAGCGTAGATATTGTAAAGTCAGGTCGGTCATTGTCCCTTTGGTAAGGGCTTGGCCACAACAGAGGATAAAGTTTTAAATGAATAAGAAATTTTTTTCTAAATATTCTTATTAAGAACAGCTGATTCAAGGTGATTTAGAACAAGAACCAATGGGTCAATTTCAACCAAACTTGCCACAAAGCATCTTGGGTAAGGGGATTTTAATTTGTTCACAGGAAGTGCCACGCCCTCTTTCAAGGGGAAATAATTAAGAATTCATGAATATTTGGTGACATCTTTTAAAAAATCTTATTAAGAATCACTGAGCAAGAAAAGATGAAATTTATGTGAAAGCTTCATTTCATACTCTAGATTCAAGTTTGTTCAAATCATAACCCCCGGGGTAGGGTAAGGCCACAAAAGGGGGTCGAAGTTTTGCATAGGAATATTTAGGAAATGTCTTTAAAAATCTTTTTCTCTAGAACAGCAAAGCCATGATTAGTCATATTATAATAGATGTATCCTCAGGTAGTGTAGATTCAAATGTGATCCAATCATGACCCCTGGGGGTTGGGGGCAGATACAATAGGGGTCCAAAGTTTTACATAGAAATATATAGGAAATATCTTCAAAGATTTTCTTCTCTAGAAGAGCTAATCCATTATTAGTCATATTAATACAGAAGCAACTATAGGTATTGTACCACTTATATTGTTCAAATAATGACCGCCAAGGGGTTAAGGGGGACACAACAGAGGGTCAAAGTCTTACATAAGAATCTTTCGGGATCAAAGTTTTACATAGGACTACATAGGAAAAAAATTCTTCTGCTCAAGAACAGCAAAGACATGTTTAGTAATATTGATATGGAAGCATCCTGAGGTAGTGTAAATTCAATCCCCCCCCCGTAAACTTTTCAATGCTGAACTGATTTCTTTTCCCTAGCCGCTGTGCTCAGGTGAGCTATATGGCACATGGTTCTCTTTTGTCACTTCATATAATATTTTTAAGTATGAACTTTTAAGTTCAGGTTATCTGCAATTTTATTGTCATTTGAAATATTGTTAAATGTTTTCAGTCGCTATTGACGGTATCGGATTTCTTTGCGAAGAAAAGGATACTGCTGAACAAGCGAATTGTCTTAGATGTTCAAGAATTCTAGATAACCAGACAGCTTGTGCGGCTGAATCGTCAGGCATGGCCCCTCTCTGTAGATTTGACCCAACGAAGAGGTTATGTATAAGACAATAATAAGAGATATATACTTCATGTACCCTGGAGGAGATTCATTATTTACCTTTTAAAAAAGGAATAAAGAGAAAGAGATACGTGTTGTTATCATTTGTTAGTTACATTTACATGTAGCCTGAGCCAAAAGCTTAATGAGAGGGGCCACTGTTAATAATCAGTTAAGCACCCTCAGTGTTATGTTGATCAAATCATAACCCTTTGGGCAAGGATCGGGCCACAATATAAGAGACCATGGGTTTAAAATCTGGTCTTACCATAGTTACTAAAAATAGAATAACTTTGAAAGATTTCATAGAATAGTCCATTAATTATTTTGAAATGCTTATCCTCCGACACTTTAGGAATAGGTTGTTATCTAAGAAAACATATCCAGGTACAGAAGGTCATTAAAAGTTTCCTCCGCCTATCATTCAAAAAACTTCATATTGTTTTCTTTTTGTGGAAAGATATATACATCTGGGGAAATCAAAGTAGTGAATGCAGAGTATCAATATATATCTATTTGATTAAATTCAATGATTTCTAGGCAAATGTCAATCATATAAATAGATTTAAGATCTTTTGACCTGGAATAATTTATTTAAATAATAAAATACTTTCTTTGGTTGTTAGTTTGGGAATTAATGTTGCAGCTGTTGCACGTCCTTAGATTTTTCTCAGAAATTTCAGTTAAAACTTAAAACTCAGACTTAAGTCCGAGATTTAACTTAAGTTTTTTTTTCGAGAACTCCAATCCAGATTCAAGTTTGCTTAAATCATCCCCCAGAGTAGGATGGGGCTACACTACATTTATTTTTACATTCCTTAGTTGTTTGTTTTTTTTTAATTTGTTTTGCTTTTGTTTGTTTGTTTTGTTTTATTTTATTTTGGTTTTTTTTTTCAAATTATCCCTAGCAAAAATGAATTATTGTTAGCCATAGTAAACTAAATTCCAAAATAATAGATAATACATGTAATAATAATGATAATAGAAATAATAATAATAACCTACCTTCCCATCTTGAAAAATACAAGTCGGAGACTCGGAGTGCGTCAAACATTTTTTCTTTAATGATGGCCTAATTAATGAAAAAGGTGAAAATAACAAACAGCATCTGAAGGTGACTGACCCAAGATCAATTGGTAATTTTTCATTATAGGGCATTGATCTATAGATTCCTTGGTGTTTCATCCCCCTCGCTTGGGACTGGAATGGGGTGTATGGGTGCGATTGAGGCCCAAATCTGGAAAAGAGAAGCCAAATTCTGAAGGTGCCCCAAAATATTTTTTAGTACACGTGCACTCTAATATGTAGATTACAGGCTATATGTACACATATCTTTGAGCTGTGAGTATATGATACTCTATACACCGATGAAAAATGTATTTTGGACTTTGAGAAAATTGTATAGCGTAAAGGGGTATATATTAAAATTATCTAGTTCATTTTTAACATAGATTGTGCGCCTTTTTTACCCGGGAAAAAACTTCTCAGACAACTATTGATATAAAAAAAAATCGAGTTTGCTTACTCAAAGGGGGAAAATACATGTTTAATAAAGTTTTCAATTACTCTATCATGGTCTTATATAATGTTTAGAATACTTGAATTAATTACAAAATATGTAATACCGTGCAGATTGAAATTCATTCTATTTTATTTCAAATGATGGATCAGTCTAACTACACTTAGTACCCGGAAAATAGTGTGCAATCATGATAAGTCGCAAGAAAAAGGGGCTTACAGAGACGGAATAATAAATTCTTATAATCAGCTGTGAATAGTTGGCACTAATTTGAATGCTAAAAAAAATCTTCTTGTTCCATCAATTTAATTCATGATTTTTATGCCCCCGTATCGAAGATTCGTGGTATATGGTTTTTGCCCTGTCCGTCCGTCTGTCTGTCTGTTTGTCCGCAAAAACTTTAACCTTGCCCATAACTTTTGATCGGTTGGAGCTAAGACTTTCATATTTCACATGTGTATTCCTTGTGACAAGACCTTTCTTTGGGTACCATCATATTTGACCTTTTGACCTTGACCTTAGAGTTTGACCCACTTTTGCAAAATTTTATGAAACTTTAACCTTGGCCATAACTTTTGAACAATCGGTGCTTGGGATTTCAAACTTCACAGGTGTATTTCTTGTGACAAGACCTTCCTTTGGATACCATCCACCGCTTTGACCTTGACCTAGGAGTGTTACTTACTTTTGAAAAACTTTAACGTTGACCATAACTTTTGAACGGTTGGTGCTAGGGCTTTCATACTTCACATATGTAATCCTTGTGACAAGACCTTTCTTTGGATACCAAACACTTTGACCTTGACCTTGGAGTTTGACCTACTTTTAAAAAACTTTAACCTTGGTCATAACTTTTGAATGCTTTCACATTTCACATATGTAATCCTTGTGACAAGACCTTCCTTTGGATACCAACAATTTTGGCATTGACCTTGACCTTGGAGTTTAACCTACTTTTAAAGTTCTAAGGCTTTCACATTTCACGAAAATGTGTATCACTTGTGACAAGACCTTCCCTTGGGGTCCTATTTGACCTTGACATTCACGTTCTACTTTTGAAAAACTTAGACCTTCGCTATAACTTCCATAACTTTTGAACAGTTAGAGCTAGGGCTTTCATTTCACAGATATATTCCTCAAAACAAGATTTTCTTTGAGTACCAACATTTTTGATCTCTTGACCTGGAGTTTGACTTGCATTTGAGAAACTTTAATCTTTGCCATAAGCTGCCATACGGGGACATCAGTGTTTCACAAACACATCTTGTTTTAGTCCCCCACCGGTGAAACCGGAGGGGACTATAGGTTTCCTCTGAGTCTGTTCGTCCGTCTGTCTAGCTGTCTGTCTGTTCGTCCGTCTGTCTGTCTGTCCCTCTTTCTGTCTGTCAGTCTGTCCCACTTGGTTTTCCGCACATTTTTTCTAAACGCTTGTAGATATTGGCATTTTCAATTTTTAACGGGAACCAGATTACACTTGCCGGTAGGGGACTAGTATTGCTAATGCAATACTCTCAGAATGTTTGTTTTAGGTAAAGTATATTGATAGTATATATAATAAGTCAAATCGTTAATTAATGATCATCAGCAACAACTCTTTTCGTCTAAACGTATCACAGGTATATTACCATTTCTGATTTCCCCTTAAAAAGTGAAACTGCAAGCTAACCTGTGAACATACTACATGTAGTAAAAAGCTCTCAAACAACATATTTTTTAAAAGTGAAAACAACAGTGATTTAAATACATTTAATATAATATGCTTACATTAATAAGTTTACCTTTACACATATTTTTCAATAAATACTTGGAGTAGGGATAGGGTCCTTCCACTTATTTTGCATATACCTAAAATGACATTAATAATTCACAACCTATATTTCTCGATTTTTTTTTATATGATTGCAAATCACATATCAATTGTTTCCATTCCTCGCAGAGCATATTTGATTACAGATCGACTTGAACCGTTATTTGCTAACTTTGTACAATCTCCCATGTGAATATACCAGACCCATGCAAACAAACCATGTGCATCATTCCGTTGCTCGAGCTCAATACAATAACCGTCCTTCCTTGACGCAAGGTGGCGCTTTGCATTGCACCAAAGCTACTTGCTCAGGAGTCCTATTTCGGTGTCTAGATTTCAGCCAAATAGATGCAATATGCCGAAATCTTTTATGGTAAAAAATTCTAGACGATGGAACCCGACAAGAAGTGTTGTCAGCGAAACAGAGACCCATAACACATCTTTAACTGGTAAGTTTAATTTATTTAACTACTTTGAATTACTTTTTGAAATCAGATTTTCATACACAATACATGTAGATCATCGTAGGTCATTTAAGTTATTACTTTTATTTATTTACAAATTTTTAGCCAAGGGAATTTTCAGATTTTTTTTAAAAAGATTTTTTTTCCTGCTTAAATAACTTCAATTTATATAAATTGAATAATTTTTCTCTATAATTATTATCATTTATTATTTGATAATTTTATTATATATCATTATTATTATCATTATTTTTCAATCTTTCATTAACAATTTTAGTAAGAAAGAAACGTATTAATATCAACAAGATTGAGATTTCAAAGAATGTCCAAAATCCAAATGATACCGTCTGCATTTCTTTGTAAATGATAATAATAATTGAATATACTTGGTAATGATACCAAAAACAATGCAACATTAAAAAGGTGGTTCATATCTGTCTTCATGACCTGCTTGTGCCACTGTTTGCAACCTTTTTTTCAAAGGTAAAATTATAGCAAATCCACCCTTACCGGAGCGCACGTCATTTGGATATTAGATTTGCATACAATGTTATTTTAATTTAAATTAAAAATTTACGTGTATATATTTTTTTCATCCATACTTTTAATTTTCTTTTATCTTTTAATTATCTGATTGTGCATACTGATATGTACTGGGGACTATAGGTTAAGTTTGTTCGTTTGATGCAAACACACACGCACATTACAAATACAATGACTTGATGCGTCAAATACAGTGTTTTCATGCAAAATTTCTCTTTTTTTTCAATTTTCCCCTGAAACACAAGCAGTATCATATTCATTTATTTGGCATCTACAAAATGTAACCATGTAATCTCAATATTTTGTATATCTTTCTTCTATGAAGGACACATGTTTAGAAGCTAAGTTTTACTATCTAAATTTTTGTTCGTTTGTTTTTGTTTTGTTTTACTTTGTTTTTGTTTTGTTTTTTTTTGTTTTTTGTTTTTTGTTTTTTGTTTTGTTTTTTTTTTGGGGGGGGGGGGTGTTCAAGCTTTCGAAAGTGCTTTAAAAGAGATAGATATAAACATGAAAAGCTCTTCATGAAAGTCAGCGTAAAATCTGTGATCTCAGACCCTCTGATTCAGATTGCTATTAAATCTGCTACTGGATCCTGATCAAATTGTTGCATAAAATAAAATGAACATCGAAAGGGAGTAAAAGAGTTGATGAAATATTTACGCATCTCGAAACATCGATGCCGTTTACTTATAAATAAATAAATCATTTGCTCTTGGAAATTTACAGCATGTAACACATTCGTGTTTCTTCACGACCTGTAAATGATCGATCAGTTATGTGATTTTTTTTAACATCCATGTCGGTCAGATTAGGAGGGACACTGGGGATCCCACTATTACCCCCACCCCCCTTTCCACTTGTCCCATAGAAATACCATTTTGGTAGTCAGTTTATATAGTGCCCCAGCCCCACCCGGAATAAATGGAATTATGACTTTCTGATGGAGAAAGAATATTTTTGTGCTTGTTAAGATACTTTGAATACCATTCTCTCCCTCACCTAAAATATATAATTGACCTTTTACATTATATATGAATGGGACTTGTGACTAATTTATGCAAACTAGCTCGGACTCTGGCTGTTTATGATTTAGAGTGCATTGGTTGGCATAAAAGGTGTCACATTAGATGACTCTCTCTCTGCGCACGAGCGAGATTTTTTAATATAAGATTTGATAACTTTGAATAAAGTCAATTGTTTTTACTGTATGTGTATTATTGTTGCCAGGCCAATATTTGGGACCTTTGTAATTAAAAACTCAATCTTTTAATTAAATAGACTGTTCTATCATTTATAGTAGCATCACTGGCCTTGCTTGATACGAAAATCTTGAAAGACACTTCCCTGACCATCCAACCCTTTTACGTTTTCAATCCTTTGTTCAAAGTCACATGAGAAAATTATTTCATAACAAGTAATAACCAATTTCTTTTGCTTGCAATGTAGTGTAGTATATAGTACAAATCGCAAAACATCCAAAAACCGGACACGGATTTCCATTTAGCTAGATTTCCAGTCTAATACGATATTGAAATCTATATAGAATTGATTTTTTTTTTTTTAGAATTGTTGATAAATATTTTGGAGCTCATAGAAGCGTAAAGACGCTTACGACCTCGTGTCGATCACTTCACTAGAGAAGATGTGTAGCTATTATTTTCAAACTGTTCGAGTACTCTTCCTTTCTCTTTCGCCTTTAAAGATTCATGATCACTTCATGCAAGTATATTTCAGCAAAGTGATATTATTATTTGACGAGTTATTTTTATTATTTAAAATGTTCACTTTAAACCCCACTTTCTACGACTCCAGAGATCAGTCTTACTAATGATGTTAACTGAAGCAGAGCGGACTGATGACGTTAATTGAAGCAGAGCGGACTTTCGAGTAATTATACATGATCACAACATTTCGTTGCAAAACAAATTACCCATCATGCAATTTGAAATACAATCTGAAACAACAAATCTGCAATTACTAGAGACTCCCCGAAGTACAGTTCGTTCGGAGTTATTTCTGAATAAAACATTATCCCTTTCTTTTTTTCACATATGAATTATTGCGTTTGTTAATATTTAATTTATATAGTGTAGTTTCCTGTTCACTTCAATAGCACGTTTTCTCGACTGATCTCCCCCTGGAGAATCCGTAAAGTCATGACACAATCTGTTTATCTCTCAGGGATTTCCATAAATCACTTGTAAAGACTGCTTTGCTGTGACCAATCCAACTATGAATATTTGTCTTTTCATTATTTTTAAACAGCCAGCATATATATTTTTTTGAGAAATAAATTCTTTTTGTAAGAGTTGATAAACCAAAGGACAGCAGACTCATCTGACTGACTTCCAAGGGGAAACTTATTGTCTACATTTGTAACTTTGAAATAGACAGGATGATAGAAAACAATAAAACATACAAATTTTATACACAGGAAACAGAAATGTAATAAAACACCGTATAGACATGTAATTGCTTGACTACATTTTTATAAAGAGAAAATGATTTAAATTTCCCAAAGGTCAGTGTTTTTTTTCATTTCATGGAGTGAACTGAATTCATGGCAACAATTGCAGAAGATAGACAAACAAATCACTTTCCTAGTGTCGTGTCGACTTTTTGTCTCTATTGATAACCCGAGGAGAACTCACTTGCGAGGAATCCTTTCGACCCTGCCTCCTGCCCAAGTGGTTAGGGATGACTGAAAATATAGAAACAGGAGAAGCGAATAATTCTATTCATTGGTAAAAGATTTTGATGAATGGTGTTGCCAAGTCTATTGAAAAAAAAATATTATCTGTGAAAATCTTTTAAACTGCTCTTCTTTCTACAGTTTTGGATTGTTTTAATTGAAACTAGGTACAAATTTCGATTATACATAATGATACTAAATTCTGTAAATAGAAAACTGAAGAATACAAGTTTTTTTCAAGTCAGGGCAATTGTTGTCTTTCCCTATTATAAGAACAAACCAGGAGAGCTACAGTCTCATCAGCGATTTCTAGTCTCCTATATATTTCTAAGTACCCCTCTCCAAGTGTGGCCTCAACCTAATCCCTGGGATCATTTTTTTTAACAATCTTGATTCTATACTTAATGGGGAATCATGCTTATTAGAATGATTAATGTGGTCCTGTTGTTTTAAAGAAAAACTTTTGGAAAATTTTTTCTTCTATATTTTCAAATCTAAATCTTTGACTCCCTATCGTGGCCCTAAAATAGCACGTGGGACCTTGACTTTAAGAAGTATGAATCTACATTACACGGGAATGCTTGCATGTTCATATGATAAACTGTAGTCCGACTGTTCTAGAGCTCCCCTATATATTCCTTTGTAAAGCATTCTACTGTTGTCACCCCCTATCCCGAGTGAGTTATAAATTTCAATCTACACCACATTTGGATGCGCCCAGATCAGTTTGACTTTTTGTGGCCCTTCTGACCTTCAAGAGAGTGGAGAATTTTTTTTCATAAAGTTTAACTTAACCCCTAGACCTAGGCCCAATACTTTGATCAAAATCAATTTCTCAATACTCGGGGATCCTTCCATGTCAATACCAATACTTAGTAATAGTAGCCCTGCTGGTCTTGAGAAAAGGTTTTTTTTTTCTTATATTTGTCTTATATCTTTGCAAAACTTTTGACGCAGTGGAGGCTCCAAATAATCCCCGGGTTACTATTTAAACAATGTTAAAAATCTACACTACTTAGGGGTGGTTGTATGACTGTGGCCATGTTGTTCCAGAGGAGAACAAATTTTAAACATTCATTCCCTATGTAACCCCTTGTAAAACCGAAACATCTTTTTGTGTCCCTGTCCAAGCCCTTTTGGTCATGACTTGGACGAACTTGAATCTACACTACTTGTTCAAACCATGACCAACAGGGTTTGGACTGGGACACAAAAAGATGTTTGAGTTTTACAAGGGGTTACATAGAGTTGGTCATGTTCAGGTTTGTTTTAAATTGAATTTATGAGATCAGCCTTGCTTCACAGATTATCACTGGCCTCAAGACCATAAACTGAGAACAGACTTAAGTCAAAATTTTGATTCTTAATATCTTTAGTACTATTTTACATATGATCTTAAAATTTTGCAGTTATGTATGATATTCAAATTTTAACAAATGTTGCAAATTTTGTTTCATTATCATTTTTTTTTCAAAAGTTATATTGATTTGAAAATTTGACTTAGGTCTGTTCTCAGTTTATAGTCATGGGGCCTGATTTATAAATTATCGAATTTGTGGCTAGAGACTTTATTGCGGTGGTATATTGCTTGATTATAAGGACACGATAACCACATGTACTGTATACATACACGAACCCATCTTGGACACAGCGAAAAAATGTTTCGGTGCTTGAAACATTTTTGGGGGTCAAATTTCTTGTGAGGCAGTTATGTCATCGCCTACATGAAGCTATTCCACTGATCATGATAATAATTTACAGTATATATATATATATATATATATATATATATATATATATATATATATATATATATATATATATATATATATATATATATATATAAGAATGAATTCAGACCAGTGAGCTACAGATCAGCAGCTAGGGAAACACATACATATGCAGTATTAGATAATACTCATAATAATCATAAAAATATTTTTTTATAATTATATCTTGATATAAATTTATCATTTCAGTCCAAGATAAGGAACAAAATTCAAAAGCAGACGATGCCAACCAAGATGAAGGTAAGACATTGCCGATGGGTTGCATTGAATTTCTTACACATCTAATTCCAATGGACAAAAATTACATTTATGTGGAAAAGTTCTGTTTGTTTTCAACTTAATAATCACATTGTGAGTGGAACTAAATAACATATGGAGAGAGGGGATAACTTAATAACATGAAAATTTGAAACATCGTTACTGAAAGCAGTTTCTTCATCTTAACAAAACACAGTTTTAATTAGCATATCTGAATTTGGACAAAATTACTATTATAATAATAATAAAACTTACATGTACTCTCAAATCTGAAGAAAAAAAGTCTTTCACAGAATTTGTTTTGTTTAATAGTTAGAATATTGCTCTTTGGTAGCAAAAAACCCCTTAACTTATGAATTTGAAATTCATTCTGTTTAAGTTACATAAAAGACAAGAGCTTATGAACAGATTGAAAGCATTGATTAGAATGCAGTGAAAGTCTGGTCATTATCAGTTGGATCATACGGCACTGCTAAGTTATGCCGATGAAACAAAATTACTAAACATATCAAAGGAACAGGACTGGTAGTTCAATCATTTTTTATGGCAGTGAATAATTAAAGATTCCCGGGGTGACCATTCGAATGTTCTACCGCACAAGATCTATCTTTAGCTTTCGTGTCGCTCGCCATCATTTCTCGCATTTTTTGCCTAATTGGGAACTTAATTAGCCCAGCATCGCCCCTCGGAGTTATACTAGTCTGGTCATGTAGTATAACTACATCGTTAGATATGACAGTTATAACAATGTATGCTATGTAATGACAACATCTTCCTCGCAACGTTACATCACGACTCCCGATACACGGTTTACATCCGATAACTTCCGGTCACATGGGTAATTAAGCAGCGAGATTTTGCTTCTCATGGCGATGTAATTTGCTGTAGTTTGGCATCTGAACCGGCCGTTTGGGGAGGGTGATACAATCGTTACGGCTCCTCAAAACCGCCAAGCTTTTGATTGTTATTGTTTCTCGAGGGGATCGAAGTGTTTCAAAACGGTGGGCAATTTGTTGTACCTCAACATGCAAATTGAATATTTTCAATCGGTGGTGTCAAGATTAATGGTTGCGTGTTATTGTCCATGTCCCATGCACTTCGGATTTCATAGTTGTTAGAATTTCCCTCATATAAACATGCACCTGTATGTATATATGAAAACGAAAATGGCTACTTTTTGTAAGTCATTTGACAACCGTATTAACGCCACTGCGCTTGCAACAGCATATATTATGTGGATGTTAACAAAGTAACAAACTTAGTTGCCAGTTTAGATTTGTAGGATGTAAGAAAGAGGAAATGAGCAAATTTTTTACTCACAAACTCTCGTTTTCAGGATAGGAAATCGATATTGTTTATTTAATCAAGTTTACAAGAATTTTAATACAATTTGATCTTTGAAACTTTCAGAGCCAATGACCTTCCAAATGCTACTACAGCATTACTTATCTGCTCTAGAGAGAAGACATCGCCAGATGGATTTTCGATCCTTTTCGGATGTTTTCCACTCAATTCCCAAACAGCTGCTCTTATTTGAGACAGAGGGGCAACTTACAGACTACTGCAACTGCTTCCGGTGTCATTTACTTACCCCATTCCTAGATAACCGCTCCCAGAATTCTATCTCTCAACCAGTTATGGAAGTAGACGAAGATTCGTCCCAGTCGTCATCAAATTGGACGGAGCGACAATTGCTGATAGATACTACTCTGCATGATGTGTCTGACTTTCATAGAGCTTTTCGTTGTCCCGAGTGTGGAAAGACCTTCAAAAGGTCATCTACCCTCAACACACACATGTTGATACATAGTGACACCAGACCCTACCCATGCCAGTACTGTGGCAAACGATTTCACCAAAAGTCTGATATGAAAAAGCATACCTTTATTCATACAGGTAGCCATCAAAACCAACCCAATAATCAATTAATACGAAGTAAACTTTTAATTTTGCAATGCATAAATCATTCAATACTTCAAATGCATCAACGAAAATATTATCATACTAATAATCTGGAAAACGTCTTCCTCATATTTGAGAAATTTAGGGAAGTATGTTAATATACTTTTAAAAAAAAAATGTTTTCCTTGGTTGATAGTTGGGACAGAAATCATATTGATGAAAATATGATTTCCTATTTCCGAACTGATTTGTACATTTTAATGCATGGATTTAGTTTTTCTGTCTTTGTTCCTAGGTGAGAAGCCACACAAATGTAATGTGTGCGGGAAAGCTTTCAGTCAGTCCTCCAACCTCATCACCCACAGCCGGAAACATACAGGATTCAAGCCGTTCAGATGTGACAGGTGTGGCCGAAACTTCCAAAGAAAGGTCGACCTTCGGCGCCACCTCGAAACCAACCATAAGACTGACTGACGTGATTCTAAATGAATTCACAAGCATCGCTTTTTAGTTTTAATACATTTTATTTATTTATCTTTTTTTAAAATTGATAATATCTGTTTTAGCTGATCACTACTGAATTTTACACGAAACGAACGAAATGATAGACTAAATGATCGTTTTAAGAATAATCCCATCGTTAACACTGAGTATTTGAGTACTGATGCGTTGACAAGAGACGTAGTTTAATAATTGGTGCACTTTGTTTAGGATTTTATTATGGAGTTTTGAAGTTACAAGTCTTTAGAAGGATATTTTGCTCGTCATTTTTATTTTGTATATTGTGCTATATCGGACTTGATGTCACACTGTCGAATTTTGACTTTGTATTTTGCAATATATGTTAGGACATAAGGTTATTTTGTACAGTTGTTTCTTTAAAAAGTTTATTTTTTTTGTACAGCTGTGTCTTTATAATTAACTTTTATTTTGACCCAAAACCTGCGATAAAACTCTACATAAAATAAGTTATTGGTTTGTAATAATTCATGGGGATCTAATATAAAAAAAAAATAAACAAACAAAACTAGTCGATGCAGCCTTAAACATTGTTAATCTTAAACAAACATTTATTACAACTGATGGCAATATATCAATATGAAACTAGCGCCAAATCCTGATTTATTCAGATTAGTAATATCACTGTTAATCCCACGAGCCTTATAGTTCATCTCCTGGAGTCTGGTTCCTCAGGGTACATCTTGGGCTGTAAGGTTGTGTTTTATTTCTAAGTCTCTTTACTGGAATTAAAAGAATGATTTTGAAATAATAATATTGAACAATATATTAGCTAATTTTGCTTAAAGATCTGAATTGTGTTTAAATCAGATCAGTTGAGTACTGAGGCCACTAAAGCTATTTACTCTCAAATCCCTTCCAGAACTTTTATGCAAATGTTTTGTCAATAGATATCTAGATTTTAAGCTAACCATGTCTCGAATTATTCATTTATAACAACATTTTGACACCCTATGAGACGCCAGCGTCTTGTGGGAACTGAATAATTAAGCATGACAAATACCCATAAAAGCGTATAGATATTCATTTTGCTTCAAAGCGTCCTTGGAGACAGAATCTATCTGATTTCTAAATTAAACCCCTCTCGATACTATTGTACTTTGCGATCTGTATTTTCTCAGTGGTTCTGGTTGTGATTGAGGCAAGTGTTTCCTTTATCAAAGGTTCTAAGGTTGATCTTTTTTAATTTTTTTTTCTTTCATTTTTTTTTACTGACCCCAATGACAGATGATACAAACATAAACAAAAAAAAAATGATTGTAAATGAAGCAAATGGTCAAATTCTGAAATACTGAGAAATTGTAAACTTTCTATGATGTTCAAAATTCTACCTTTTTGCTCTCACCCCTATAATTCTATTGACAAGTTTGAGGGAAAATATAATTGATATTTTTAAAAATAAAGGAAAAAACCCAGATGGATACACATGATTATCATTTTTTTGTGTGTGTGTTAGTCGTTCATATTTTAGTCCAGATATTAAATTCTTAATTTATATCGACTACTTAATAACTTCAATAAATTTAGAATAACTACATGATATTCCTTGATACATGTACACATAATGAATTTATCAGAATTTGTCAATTATACTGAATTATTTCCGAAAAAGAGGCGGGGGGGGGGGGGTATAGTGATGGGGTGTCCGTCTGTAGGTCAGTAACAGTGGGGTTAGCCATCCTTATCTACAAATCCCCCTACACCACTGAATGCAATTTTGTGAAACTTTCACCGAATTTTTATTACATGTTGGCATTGTACATTGCCTATTTTACGTCTTGATGGGGCACATATTTGGGGTTTCGTATAGCAAAACATGAACACTGCCATTCTCCCTATAATGTCAGCGGTACCCATCTTTTATCCGCAACTCCTCCTATGCCACTGTATAAAATTTAAAGAGACTTTCACAGAATCTTTACTCATAGTGCCACTATGACCTCCTATTTTACGTTTCAATCGGAGAAACTGTTTGGTTTTCCCATAGCAAAATATGGACACTCTCCCCATAATATGGGGGGGGGGGGGGGTTACCAATCTCATATCCCTAACTCCTCCTATATCACTGAATGAAAATTAATGAGACTTTCACAGAATCTTGATCACAAAGTGCCATTGAATTTGTGCACCTCTTATTTTATGTTCTGATCGAACGGGTATTTGGGATTTCCCATCGCAAAAATTGACTTTGCGATTATACTTATATGGGAGCGGGGTATGCTCACAGTACCTCTAGTTGTACCTACAATCTATCAGGAGCAAATGTTGCAGATCAATACATGCTATGTATCTATTTATCAACATGTTTATTATCATAAAGTGTTATTATCACAAAACATGTCTAATTAATCATTATTTAATAATTGCTATTAATGTGTATAATTAAACATTTATTGAAAAATAAAGCGTTTTACTCTACAGAATGGCTTATATTGTTACATTTAGACAGGACATTGCCGGAAAAAAATTATAATGTGCAAGTGGATGATTTTAAAAAGTGCAGAGCCCCTATTCCAAAAAATTTAATTACAGGTTAACACAGAAAATAATACACCTTTTGAGTCTTATGGATTGCTTGTTATTGATTGCAGAAACGAAAGTATCCTCAAATAAAATATACTATCTTGATTAGATCAGTCATTAAAAATTAACGCACAAATCAGACAGTGTAATGCATTCATTTTTAATTTATAGATGAGAAAAATACTAAAATACTCAAAGTTAATAGCAACGATATCAATCATACAAATTGTATGTTATAAATACAACCTATAAGGACTGCGGCTAGACTCTGAATATTTACACCCATATCGATGCCCGTCGGAAAAAATCTATCGAGAAACTTTCAAGAAACGGGAAAAAAATAATTTTCGGAAACATTCTTTTGTTCGAGAGATGGGCAACTGGAGACACAAATAAGTTTATTATTTTTGAAGAAGAAGAAGAAAAAAGATGAATTGTTATTTTACTGCCTTCTATTTTTTTTTTACTCTCTAATTTTCTAACTTTTCGTATATACTAAATGCAGTTATAAGTTCTGTCGTTTTGTTGTTTCTAATTTCATAAGAATAAATGCCTGTGCCACATTGAGAATCACTTTCTAATTTCTAAATTTCTAAAACGAGGTAAATTATTGACAAATAAGTTGATGAGACAAGAATATCAGCTGTCTCGTTTAAAGTCATCATTTCGTAAGTTCTATGGTCGATACAATGACCTTGTCAGCAAATACAATTTATCATTGAGTCAAATGCTGACTGACGTTTTTCATACTAATTGTTAAGCCATTATTTACACACTGAATTGTCGACGGATTTTTCCGTTATTTCCCGATCATGACAAGGAGCACACGGCGGGTGTGACCGGTCGGCAGGGGATGCTCACTCCTCCATAGCACCTGATCCCACCTCTGATGTTTGGAGGTCCTTGTTTGCTCTGCTCCTATTTTTGTATTGTTTTATGGACTTTTGAGCTTGAACACTGTTCGTTATCACCATATATTTCATTTCATATTAACAGTGGTTCATTGTTGCGCAAGATTTCTCTCGAGATTTAAACAAAAGAAAGAAAGAAAAAAAATCATCATTTTAAGAATACTTTACTTCAAAGAAATGAAGCATAAAACATAGTACCATAATAAATAAACTAATAAATAACACATAATAAATATTTGTCTACATAGGTACACTGTGATAAATATGGCTATTATAAGCATAAAGATCATGAAAACTGAAAACGAGACACACTGGGTATTGGAAGTGACACGATCGATTTTTATCTTGAGTTTAAACAACTTGAAATAATACATTAATTATATTCAAATTGCAAAATTAATAATTTATCGTATGCTCCCCTCATACTAATGAAAGATATCGGTGAGAGGTCTCAGCGGGATATAAATCTGTACAATAAATAAGGAGACGTGGTTCTAGTTGCATGTATGTTTTCAAACGGATGAAATGCAAAAAAGTTCGTTTGTCTACCTGCAACTCTTTTAGAATAGAGTTCTTTCTTCCTTTGTCAAAAATATGACTGAAGTCTGAATAACTAATTGTTTCTTCATCGGAACATTCCTCTCTGTGGAATTTGGCGGACATTACGAGATCCTAGAGAGATTCTGCGAGATGTTCCGAGGTTTCGGGAACCGAAGTTACTCCTTCTGGATTCGACGGTAGATCTTTGTGGGAGGCGTACGTTGGAACGGGAAAAACTGGTACGGCTAACTGGACGCAAATCATTTCTGCTGTTGGAAGAAAACTGGGATTGTTCGATTATGAGACCATTTCTATTTGATGTTCTGCTTCCTGACCTGTTCCCTAGGTCCGTTAAAGAGAGTGAATCTGCACTGTTTCTGCGGGAAGATGCTAAAAGGGAGTCTCTAGAGTTAAAGTCAGCCCTCGAATTTAGCTGGCCTCCGCTGGAAAACTGACCCCGTTGTCCGTCGTTCCACCGTTGGCTACCACCTGACACAGACCCTGATAGTCCTTGTTGTCCACCAAAGTCTTGATGTCCCCCTAATCCTTGCTGTCCTGTAAATCCTTGAGATCCTCCGAAAGACTGTTGTCCCATCATTCCCTGTTGTCCAAAAACTCCTGAAGCTCCTGAGCCCATGAACCGCTGGGCAGCAAGAACTGAACTATCAACGTCTGATAATGGATGGTCAATGTCAAAGTCGATGAATCCATTTATGCCTCCAAATCCATTCAGTCCATTTTGCAAATTTATTCCGACTGGAACTCCGGCACTTCCACCAAAGCCTTGTCTTGTAACTTGACAAAGGGCTGTTCCAACTAAACTACAAAAAGCTAGCACTGACAATTTCATAGTAACTACCTAAGTCGACGAACCAAAAGTGTTTCTTTGAAGAAAGGTTCAACTATTTTATACTCTGGCCTCAACAGGGGACAAAAAACTCGAATAAAATCCTAATTTTCCTACGGTCCAAAATGTTATTTTTTAAAGAGTTTCTTTAAGGGTCAAATTTTCTATTACACAATAAGGTAATATTAAATAGAAAATTAAAACTTTGTGTTGTTTATTTAAATAAAAATGATGGTATTGTATAGAATTTCACCCTTCGGGTTCCTCGTCTTGACCCGTCATGTTGTTGCGTAACAATTACATGCGTTTTATGATTTGAAACTGTGCATGACCTGCAATGACAAGTGGGTTAAGTAGGAATTATGACATGATTAGCGACTAAAAACAACTGGTCAGTCGAGACAATGAGCTGAGTGTCTAGAGAAGCATTCGTTGACGCAAGTACATGTAATAAAATCAACCGTTTTACATGGTCAGCGACATGTTAATTAAAGTCGTTCGCCGTGCCCTCTGTTTCGCTGTTCAGTTTTACTGAACTGCAAAATAAAGATGCATTTTAACTACTGCGAAATTGATACGCAAATTTTCAAACGGTTAAACATGTACCACAAAAATAAAAATTGCACATAAATACAAGCATTGTGTTTCTTACATTCATGCGCATTTTTTTTCTCATTATGGATCCTCTTGTCAATGAAATATTTTTCTGGACATTATATCTATAAAGGTGTATTATTGAACATTTTTTTTTTTTTTTACATTTTCAACACAGGTACCATTTAAATGTTCAAAAAGACAACGAAGCATTGATGAACAAAAATTGATGTTGCTCACTTCAGTGGGAAAATACATGCATGCAAATAAAGTGCTCAATAAATTTATCTCGGCCTGATAAAATGCTAAAAATGCTTGATTGGATTAAAATTTACTAATACAATATAGATATTAATTTATTCAAGATCTAAGAACGGATCATTCTAGCTTTATAAAAATACGACAGAATTAGAATTCTTTAGTGTGCAGTGAATGGAGGGTCCTTAAATACAACCTATACTTTGATATTATCTGGGGGTAACGCAATGATGTTCCATTTTATAAAATGGACTTTTTCCCCATTTCTGTTCCCTTGGAGCCAGAGGAAAAGATGAAAATGGAGACGTTATTACATGTATCCTTTTGTTTCTTTAGAAGTCGTCATAAAGCGACTGTCTTGCTAAACATTTTTACAAAGATGTACACTTCCTAAGCGGACGTGTTCCTCCTCAAAAAGATTATATGACTGAGCGTTTCCAGTAATATATGCTTTTTTGTTGTTGCAGATGATAAAAAAAAAAAAAAAAAAAAAAAAAAAAAAAAAAAAAAACGAAACACTGACAAAGAATATAACGGAGAAAAATATCTCCTAAAAAATATTTGTAACAAGTGTCATGTACATGTACGTCATATATGTTCTGCTGCTACATGTAGTTCATCGTGAATTACATTTTACATCGTCATTGCGAATCACGGTCAAAATGTACGATACCCTTCCATTCTGGAGAGAGTTAGGTAAATATGGGAAATCTATACCGTGGCTTGAGACGATGATCTTACATCCATACGGTGTTAGAAGGAATACATATTTTGCAATGTGGGTTTTACAACCGAGAGCGATAAAGTCATGGATTTTTCTCAGTGAAGAGTTATCTCTCTTTTCCAAATGTCAATAAACCTTGTGCACAAACAACAGTCTCCTTATTGTAATATTTCGCGTATAGTAGATATAATTGTATTTTTCTTCTGAATTATTATCGAGTAACTGTTCAAACAAATAAGTAAAGTAGTAGTTATTAATACTTTTAATTTTACAAATACATGTACATGCAACTCTTTTAAAAGTTGTTGCATCTTAATATCAATTAAATTACCAGAGAGATTTCATAACTATTATATTGTCCTCCCTCTGTAAGATTGCTGCTTTTCAGCAGCAATAATATCAGTAAAATTGATAAAATACGTTCCAATGTTTATTTGATCACAAAGTTTTCGTTACAAAGTTTAATTCAGATAAGATAAAAATGTAGTAGATCAGCTTTAAAAAAAATTCAACTTGACAATCAAGGCATATGGTTCATCTGAATCCGATTTCTTCTTAACAAAATGCTGAACGATACTTACAAACTGCAAAACTATGAGTTACTATAATTTATATGAGCGTAGTTTACAATAGTATTTTCAGTGTGGGAACCCCCTTTCACTTTGAGCTTAGTTAAATATTTTGTTTGACATCCCCTTCCACGTCTGTCTGTCCACAGAGCAACTAATATTTTGACGTGGATCAGCCTTTAAAGTTTTTTTCAAGTACTGGAGAGAGCTTATCCAAGAGACGACCTGAAAATTCAAGTTTTGCAGAGGTACATGTATGTGCTAGAAGTACTTTCAATTTCGTTTAGTATGTGGTCACACAAAGATATTTATAGTCACAACTTCACTTTACGTATAAAATTACAACCTATTTTTGGATCAACACTGATCAAACTTGTATTCCCCACTTTTACCCCCTGTTTTACTGAGGAGTCTAATGTTAGAAATGACCATCTCCTTGTTAACTGCTTTGCACATATCATATACAGTAATGGCTGCCACTGAGGCCCCGGTTATGGCTTCCATTTCAACTCCAGTCTTCCCAACTGCTTTTGCCTCACATTCAATATACACAGAGTAAGAATCCCTCTGTAGACTCAGATCAACTGACAATTTACTCAGTCCGATGTTATGACAAAGAGGTATGAGCTCGCTTGTCCTTTTAGCAGCCATTATTCCTGCTAACTGAGCAACAGAGAGCACATCCCCTTTCTTTGTTTTGTTTGCTTCTACCAATGAAAAGGCCTTCTTTCCCAGAGAGATAGAAGCACAGGCCACAGCAGTCCTTACAGTTTCATCTTTGGCTCCCACGTCAACCATTTTTGCCTTCCCATCTGAACCAAGGTGAGTTAGCTTGTCATTCATTCTTAATGATGTGGTGTGAAAACTCCTGTATCCAATTGTTTGATCTTTCCTCATAGGTTGAATAGAAGTATGGAAGAGAAATTTCTTTTGTCTCTCAGTTGAAAAAGGAGGAGTATTCCATCCTGTCACAGCAAGATCTACCAAAAGTAAAGTTCCTCTTACCCCCTGATAATTTCTATTTTGGTATACATAATCATATACATAACATTAATGCATGTACCAATTTTTGCATTATAAAAAAAATACTCCAAAATCATTGAAAAAATTCTTCAGATTTGATCAAATCTTTTGAATACTTCTATTTCCACTATGGAAGAGTTATACTTCTTAGTGCGCTCTTTTGTTAAAAAGTCAGAAAACATACAAATCTCGCGGGATTTCTCGGACAAATGCAACATAAACATGTAAACAATATGTTGCATGTCGATGACCAAATCCTAAGAAAATGCAAATGAAATATTTTATTGTTGTGGACTTTATATACATCAAGAGTAGGAATGAAAACGATATCAATTTATATCTATTGTTGATCGTATGTATCTATTTATCGTATGGTACATCTAAATACAATACACTTGCCTTGGAAATGTTGTATTTTTTTATTAATGGATGATAAATTTAGGGTTCTCACTCTCTTACATATGTCTTTTAGTTCTTCTATTCTTTAATTGGAATGACAAATACATTTAACATTTAAAATTTGATTGAGATTGGCATGTTTTATATTATCCGCAACGCCATGCTGTCCCAGTCAGACAACCAAATGCGCCTCTAATTTTGAAGAGTTCACTAATGAAAATAAAACGTATTGTTTAATAGGTTTAAGTACATGCTGCAGTTATCATGTAACAGTGTATCTAGAAAAAAATTCTTATGTCTGGTGTCTCATCATATACTATTTATATTTGTTTTGATAATGTAATTTGATTCAGGCATAGATACAAATCATAGTTAAAGGTTTATCTCATAAAGCTAGTGAACTCCTATTTTATCTTTTCCACACAAGCATAACCTCAACTAGTACAAATTTAATTTTATAATTATTTTTCCAAACATTCTGTGACAACATTAACAAAATTTCCATTGCATCATTCAAACATTTTCATCAGGCAATTCTTCGCCACATTCATATCGAACGAAATCAGTCACAGTTAAACCATTCTCCTCCAAAATGTCTTTGACCATCACATCTTCATCAAGGGCATACTCCTGAAACAATAACTTGGTCTCTTCCTGTTTATTTATTGAGGGTTTGTCTGTGAGGGCCCCTATACTAGTGGGAGAAGAAGCAATGATATGCTGACATAGACCTGTTGTAATGGCTTCCACAGACTCTGTTGTTTCCGTTCCTGCAGTCTTCTCTACACTCAGAATCACTCCATATCTTCCCAAGTGACAGTCTTTAATGACCACTTTCTTATCTGAAATGTATTTTTTAAAAATTAAGAGTTCAGTTGTCTTCAAGACTCAACTCATCACTTTTTTTAAACCATTATTGTACATTTTCAATATCATCTTCCAAAACAATCACAGAAGAGTTACACCCCTTTTGTTCATTCAAACAATTTTTAGGAAAACAATACTTGTACTGAGAGTTCAGTTGTAATTAAATTAATCTTTGCAATACTCATTTTTCATTTCATTACAAAAAAAACTCTGTTACAAAAATACATGGATTTATTCCTGAATAGAATATTAAAACTGCCAAAGTCCTATATGAATCCTCAGAAATGATAATAGGAACTCTAAAATGGTCAAAGAAGAGCAGAAATGTATAATTGCATACTGACAGTTTGGAATTTACTACTGGTTTCTGAAAATCACTCAGAACATTACAATAACATACATATACAGAACTTGTGTATGGCGGAATTATCTGTAGATGAGAAAGAAGCTTACCAGAATTGTGAACATAAGAATTGACATACTGTCCCTCTGAACTGGGAAGGAAAACGGCTCGTCTCAGTTTCATATTCTCACCAATTGCACCGACTTCCAGAGCGACTATGTCAGACAGCTTTCTGTTCTCACTGGGTAAGCTATTTACTTCTTCTTGTTGTAATGATTTCTGAAAATTACACAAATCACAAAATAATTCTAAACTACCTACAGGGATCCAGTGTGAATCAATTTACTGATGTTTACTATTTAAAGAGTTTGTTATTTCTGGAAAATTTTATATCCTTCTATCATATATAAAACATGAAAGATTTCAGAGTTGACATTTAAGAGTGATATTTTCAACATTTTTACGTTTGGTGCAATGCCTTTTGATCAAAGTACTGTAAATGCATACTTTATATGTATCCTTTTGAAGATTGCTGTGACAGGCTACTGTTAGGCGGTACACCAAGTCTTTAAATTTTTCATTTCTAGCCACAAAATCTGTCTCACAATTCACCTAAAACAGAACTTATTCTCATTAATTCAATGTAAATTGACTTTCAAAATACTTTGGCTGAAGTCTACAAATAGGACAAACAATAAATGGGTTGAAAAGTTTGACATTTCAAAGAATCACAGGAAACTCTGTAAATTGTATTCTTTGGCAAAACCTGTCTTTAAATCTTAAGTACTGACCATACCTCAATCATTGTGGCCCCTGTTCTGGACTGTATTAGCCCCACCAGTCCTTGTGACATGGAACGTGACTGTAGCTTGTCTGCCCGGGCCCAGCCCTGTTTCTGTGCTTCTTCTATCAACCACTTTTCTGCCTAAACAATGCAAAAAAAAAAAGACATTACCATTAAACTCCTTCTATCAACCATTTTTCTGCCTAAACAATGCAGAAAAAGACATTACCATCAAACTCATATAACAGTAGCCCTGCACAAATCTTCCAGGACAGTAATACTTTTATTGAAAGTAAAGAGTCCTAAGTATTTCAAAACTATTTGCAAAGAATTCATTGTGTATGTGTATGTACTGGATGGCTGGATACATTAACCAAATATGCTATGTTTCATAGCCATTTGAAGATTTTAGGCAATTACATACTGAATATTTGACTGCAATATTTTCCTTATAAAGATAAAGCAGAAATCATACCTCCTCTAAATTATTATTGAATTTTTCAAGTGCTTCTCTGCAGTTCTTCAGTGGTACCCCAGTTCTTTTTCGTAGTTGACTTAGGTTACTCTTACTTGCTTGTCCAACACTGTAATTCCTAGGGAAGCCTTTCCACAGTAAATTTAAAGATGACGCTAAAAAACCTGCCAATGAAACCAATACTTCAGTTTTAAAAAAAATAAGTAAAATGTTCCATTGCTTAAAATATTACAGGGTTATTGAAAGTTAGAGTCTGAGGCCAGAGAGATTCTGCTGGTCGGAGTTAACGGAGACAGCCGAGCGTCTGGTTGAAAGAGACTACAGGTGTCATAACAGTATTTCAGTTGAGGTTCATGTCAAAACATGGCTGAATCACCCCTCCCGATTCGGGCATTTTGGCATGAGACTGGAGCTGAATTTTTTTATGAGATGAAAAACTATATGTAAACTTCCTGTATTGATCAGATTCATTATAATTGAAGGCGTGCTGATTTTTCTATATACTTTATTGGAGTGGGGAGTGATTAGGTCCTTAACTTGATTTTCAAGCACCTGCTCGACTTCGACCGAAACAAACTTGCGAACCTTGCTGGATGACTATGTACTTTTTGGTCCTAAAATCTTTATTAAAGAATTATTTTACAAGATCTGAAAAGGAAACCTCTCAAAAGTTTGTTTTAAATTAAGATCACCTATTCAAAGTTGCGCAAATTTGGTAAGAATATATAGCAAGATTTAATACTGTTGTGCAACCCCCAACCCACTGCACCATGTTGTAAATCATTTCGAATTTCCTCTCAATACAAATACAGAATAAAACCTATTGGTACTACTTGTAATCTTTGTATTTACTTACGCCCCATTTTGCTTTATTTCTCTTATACTGTAAGACCCGATTTACCGAATAACCGATCCTTAAAAGCCTTGTAAAATGCTATTCTAGAGTTTGGTAAACTAAAACTGCATCCATGATCCAGACTCGGGCAGGTCATGGACATCATGCTTTTCCGGTGTGACTAAATGTCAAAACGATAGCGGACTGTTCAAATACGGAATCTTCTCGAACTGCTGTTGTGCGGATCCAGAAGGGAGGGGGGGGGGGGGGGTCCGGGTGTTTATTTTTGCAGAGAGAGAGAGAGAGAGAGTTTTTTCTGTAATACAGATATTTTACGTTTAACATGCATTTTTGAATAAAATAAGTAGTTCAATATCTACACTTTCTGCAGATAGAGTTTCGCGTATTTGCTTTCCTCCGTGTTCCTTTACAACCTCGGCCCCCAACCACCCACCAGTAACATTCAAGGTTTCACTTTGATTATCATCAGTAAGATTCTGGCGAACTTTATAGCTACAGTACTTGGCCATAAGTGAGTCGTAATTTTATTTTTACACTATATATTTCATTTTCTGAAATACAAATGTATGATTGCAGTGTTATTTGTTATTCATTCATAGGACTAAAACACCATAAAATGTAGAATTATTTGCAGTTTCTGTATATAATTTCAAAATAATTTTATCTGTAGGCATTTCGGTGATATCTAGCTGCAATAATGTAGCCCTCTCCGATTTTTTTTAATCTGATATTTTCAGGAGAGAGCTACAATTCCACTGCATCTCCGTAATGGTGCAAATATATTTTTTAGATACGGGCGACTGCAGGCAAAATAAATTGTTTTTGCATTCAACTTACTTCCAATAAGACAGAATTTTATTCACTATCAACATCATAGCCCTTTATACGCGAAAACCAAGTAAAAGAAATCTGCATGTTTACCAGTCGTTCTCTTCAGCAGCCATGACAGTTCTCGCGTGATGTACAGAGACTTGCGCTTGAATTTTAGAAGCACTTGATAAAGTAAATGTCGGTGTTGATAAATGTTTGTGTTGTATGATATCACTAAACATCGATAAATAAAAGCATCCCATGTGATATTTTTTTCATAAACAGTGATATTTATGCTTAAAATAAGGGATATCCTAAACGATCCGCTCCCCTAGATCCCGATTTCTCATTGGTTGTCCCAAAATAAAATCGATCAAGGTCAGTAAACATTGGCGGATAAATTCAAGTTGTGATGTTGACATACACGAAAAATAACCGATATACGGATTGTTCTGTATATTTTTGGATCAATTCATGTCTTGTACAACTACATTTTATGAGTTCGGGTAAGATATGTTAATAAAATACCCACTTACTGATAATTTGAGCCAAATCTGTGCGGTAGTGAATCACTCCCGCACTTGCACCATTACGGAGATCCTAAGGAGTTGTAGCCCTCTCCCAAAAAAAAAAAATCGGAGAGGGCTACATTATTGCAGCTAGGTGATATCACTCGTCAAATTCTAATTAAAAATTTTACGACTCTAATTTGTTAAGAAATTATAGTAATTTGAGGTGAGAAATTTTTGTCCTGACGATTTAACAAGTTATTCTCAATGATTAGTGCATCAATTTGTTTAGCATTATAAGACAAGAAAATTTAAACAATTTTGCATGATTCAGTGAAAAAATCATTGAAATAGGGTTAAAATTGACCTCAGAATAAGTTTTTATAAAAATTGGTTTTTCAATGAAATATATAGTGTAAAAATCAATTATGACTCACTTATGGCCTTATACTGTATGCGGGAATTTTGGGACTATCTTCTGAAGTACCTAACTTTAAGAAGTACATTTATACATAAAACGTTATATTTCTCTCCTTATATTTATGGAGATATTTTAATCAATGAAGAGAAAGATTTTAAAGGCACCGTGTAATTCATGGACTGGAGGCATGGAGTGGAGTTATGGAGTGGAGTTTGGAGTGGAGTTTGGAGTCAAATTTTGGAGTCTAATATTTTTTTTTTCAAAAACATGAATGGAAAAAAATGTTCAAGAAATTCTATTAGTATAAAAGTATTTCATTCTTTTTTGTATGATTGTTGGCTGTTTCATGTCTTCTAACTAAACTGATTGACAATTTCATAAGTACTATGACCTAATTAAAATTTGTAAGTTTCTGAAATTTGTGTAAATATTTGTAACTTGGGAATATTACATCAGTATTGAATACTGACAATATAACCCCTATTCTTTGAAAACGTTTGGAAACTGTTGAACCTGATTAATCAACAGATTAAAAGTCGGTTTTAATGGCTGTTTAAATACAGTTTAATTACCAAGAGCTGTTAGGTTCAGAGTTTAAAGCAAACGCAAGTTTTTCAATAATACACTCACCTATTCATTACCTTCTGCATAAAATTATATTAAAAAAAAGATAATTAGTTTTGAAATAACTTATGCGCTTTATACCACTATTATATGATGTAAAAGATTTATTCATTCCCTTAATCATTGCATTAAAAACAACATAGTGATAACCATATTAATCTCTCTCCTTTTTCCTTGGGTTGTCCTCCCCACCCCTAGATACAACAAATTAACTTTGGGTCATATCACACTTCAAGTGAAAGCAATGTGTTAATTGTTTTACGCCAGTTTATCTTTATTAAACATTGAATAAACTGTCAGTGTTCTAATTGATAGTAAATGCTCTGTAAGATTAAACTGGCTCATAGAGAAAAGCAAGAATCCTTACACCTTGTTTCAGAGATGTTGATTAAACTCTGTATGATGACTATTTAATTTTGGTGTATGTAATCTAATTTTGAATTAACTTAGTTCTCCACAGAACATCATGCATGTATTAAAACCATTGCATTATTTAGGAGTTTATATCAATATCACCATCCCTTAACTGGCATCCTAGTGCATTAATTCCTTCCCATTAGCTTCTAAATTAATAAAATTGTGAGTCAACAATGTATATATTGTATTCCTATTATGGTATCATAATATTATTTAATTATCAAAGTAAATGTATATGAATTATTGATACTCTTTTTTTAAAGTCACAATTTAAGATGCTAAGTTGATGGTTGCAAATCTAAAGTAAATTATAGAGAGAAAAATCATCAATCTTATTCTAATGTACATTACATGGATGTGAACAAATGTCAAAATTCAAACAACCTTGTTACAATATATTAACCTACATTGTTTGGCTGTGTTGTCAAAAATCTATAAAAATTTAGCAGACATAACAAAGATGTGACAGAGAGCTAAAATGTAGTTCAAAGGGATTTATAACCTTTCAATTACCGGTATGTGTTGAAAGCAATGGTGATCATTATTTATGTAACAGTTAAATTTGATTAAAACATAGAATAAACTGTCACTGTTTTAAATAACACACTAATTGACAATGAGAGTGAAATTAATACTCATGACCTTATCTGAAAGAATTTGAGGGAATTCGATGCAGCCACTGTATGTCCCACATATTCAGTTTATCAGAATATGTCAAGAATTATTTATACAAGAGCATGCAAGCAGTCTGTTTTGCAATTGTAACAGACCCATTTATTCACATCAGCATGCTATTCATTAAAGTACAATAATTATCGGTAATCCATCTTTAGCTCACCTCAGCTGAAAGTTCTGATCACATTTTGTTTGTAGTACGTCTGTCTGTCCGTCCGTCTGTAAACTCTTCACATTTTCGACTTCTCCTCCAGAACTACTAGGGCAATTTCAACCAAACTTGCCACAAAACATTCTTGGGTGAAGGGGATCCAAATATGTTCAAACGAAGGGCTATGCCCTATTTCAAGGGAAGATATTTCAGAAATAATGAAAAAATGGTGGCATGTTTTAAACCACTGGGCCAAAAAAGTTTAAACTTATAGGAAACCTCCTTTACATAGTGTAGATTCAAGTTTGTTCAAACGATGAACCCCGGGGAAAGGGTGGGGCCACATTGGGGGATCAAATTGTTACATAGGAATAAATAGGAAAAAAATCTTTAAAAACCTTCTTCTCAAAAACAGCAAAGCCATCATTTGTCATACTGATATGGAAGCATCCTCAAGTAGTGTAGATTCAAGTTTATTCAAATCATGACCCCTGTGGGTAGAGAGGGGCCACAGTAGGGGATCAAATTTTTACAAAGGTATATTTAGGAAACAATCTTTAAAAAATCTGCTGCTCAAGAACAGCAAAGCCGTAAGTTATACTGATATGAAAGCATCCTCAGGTAGTGTAAAATTCAATTATCCACTACTCTCAGAATGCTTGTTTTTTAAGTCACATGTTAAGAAACTAAGTTGATAGTTGCAAATTTAAGAAAGAGAAAAATAACTGAATATTCTTGTTCTAAGAACTACTTAAAAACTATGGAAGTTAATATGTGAACAAATTTGCAAAAAAGAACCTTGTAACAATTAATTAACCTACATGTAAAGTTGTGCGGTCAAAAACCTATATAAAGTTTCAGCAGACATAACAAAGACGTGACAGAAAGATAAACGTTAGTATAGAGGGTTTTATCACCTTCCAATTCTGTGTTGAAAAGCAATAGTGGTCATTATTGATGTAACATTTAGATTTGATTAAACAGAATAAACTGTCATTGTTTTAGGCAACATACTAATTAAAAATGAAAACTCTTTTAGATTACATAAGCTCACAGAATTGTTATTCTAAGTGAAAGGTCAGAATCATTCACACCCAGTTTCAGAGATGCTGATTAAACTGTGGCGAATGACCGTTTAATTTTGGTCTATGTGACCTAATGTTGGAATAACTTGGTCCTCTAAAATCCAAATAATCAGGGGGACACAGAGGCCGGGGTAATTAATATTAATGCAAGCAATACAAATGAACCATTTTTATAAAATTAAAACCTAAATGAACCCCAAAAAGAGAGTATATATATGAGGAAGTAACTGGTAGAGTACTTGTTCACATTCAAGATTAGGCTTTGTGCTTGCTAGCTTAATTCTTCAGGTGTTAATTTCTCTTTCTTCAAAAATGTCTAAGAAGATAATTCTGAAGAAAACATATGCTGAGGCTGTTAAAGGTAAGAATATTACCCATTTTATTTCAACTAGATCTTTTTAACTGTACACAAACATCTTATTGTCAAATT